GTTCACATCCAGCGGCCAAGAAATGTCGCCACTTGCCTTTTCATACGATAATTTGTCGAGCAGCAATCAAACGCCGCCATGCGTCTCCTACGTCATGTTCTCGCGGCTTCCGTCGTTCCACAGCAAAAACACGCAAGTCTACTACCACGGTAGGCAACAATACCAACAAGTACTGCTCTTAACCTGCTCACTCTTCCTCCCCGTCTGGACATAGCTGCATCCGTCGCGCCAAGTCTTTTTAAACTACTATTCGCTGCATAAAACGATAACAAGATTGGAGACCAAGACAGCGAGGCTAGAGGCCGTCCTTCGCGTCAGTCTCTGTCATCTGTACTATCCAGCGCAGAAAATTTGATCCTGGATCCGCACTTTTAATGTATAAAAGGCTCATTTTGAGGGCTTCTTTATCAATTTGAGCTACACCGTAACATTGACCGACACAATATTTATCAGTGGCTTTGAAAAGCTGAACAAATTCGAGCGAAAGGAGCCCTGTTCAGCGACGGTGACATAATGGATCTGCTAGTATCCTGGGTAAACACGAAAACGCTGGTGCACATTTTCCACGTGTATCGAGCAGATGATAAATTAAAGAGTTGGGCCGACCGCTACCAGATGCTGCTAGCAGCGAAGTCTCCAGGAACCATACCGAGTATGATCGAGATGTGGGAGAAGTCATGGACGCACTTGGGTAATGTCTCCCGAAAGCTAGTAAATAGAATGACGGTAAGGTATGAGGTGTCAAAAATACGTGGATCGGCATCGGTTGCGCACTTTTGGACTGGACTGCGTAGATCGACAAATACGGAGCTTAAAGTTACATCTTTATCGACTATGATGTTGTGACCCTACAGACTAAGGCTAGATGACTGCAAGTGGTCAATGATGCTGTCAAGTTGCTTCTTCGATTCATAAAATCGACGAGTTTCGCGTAAGACTTACAAGAAGCGCTTGGAATACACACGAGATTTATACTGATGGCGCGGTCTGGTACTAACACTGCTCAAGTTTATGCGATGATACGTATTTCAAAAGAGCCAGGGATTGAACATAGCCGTGCTATGTGGAAGAGGGTTTCACCGTCAGTTTGTGTCTGACGTTGTGGTTGCAATATGCACTTATCTTCCGATCCCACGGCGGAGCGTTTACAGATAGAGCAATCGTGAAGCTATTGGAAAACTAAAGAGGACTGTGAGAGGCGGTAGTGTTTTCTCATTGGCTTCGATTCGTTCCGTACATGAATGCTAGTGCTGAGAGCTGAGATCTTTGCTGATCGTTAATGTGGCGTAACTTGCAAAGTGAATACAGGTCCTTAGTTCGCAACTTCTTCTTGCTACTTTAAGCCTAATGGACTCTTTCACCATGCAATAGTAATCGATACTACGCGCACTATTCATTGGAAAGTCGTACATGAGTAATCAACTTTACACCATTACTCATTGGATTGTCACACATGAATAATCAGCTCTCTAACCATTTCTCGTTCGATTGTCGCGTATGAGCAACCACGAGTAACCATGTTACTCATGTCACTCATGGGATGGGCGCATTACTGATCGCCGGACCGTACCTTTATTTTGTCTCTTGATAGCTAAGGTGTTTCCTTTTTAACAAGCTTACTCGCCTCGGCAGCACCTTGGATCCCCAGTTTGTTTTAATCTGTGTAGATTGATCCACGAGGACAGCCTGCGTCATGGTTTATGCCAGTATATCTTGTGTCGGACAGTACCTCAGTACTATGTGTCCGTTTTTAACCTTTTTGCGTACGAAGTGATAGCATATGTCGATATTCTTGGGCCGCTTGTGAAGCTTAGGATTCTTCATCACTGCGATCAATCCTTATTTATCTTCGAGCACCGAATCGAGTAGTCATGGTCGAGTTCACCAAGCTCGCTCGCGAAAGTCTTCAACCAAATCGCTTCCTTGGTTTCCTTGGACAGCGCCATGTATTATGCCTCCGTAAATGAAAGCGCAACCAATCGTTGCTTCTGTGAACGCCAATTGACGCAACTACCATTAAGCTCGAAGGTGTAGCCACTTGTGCTGCGACGCGAATCGTGATCGCTGGCTCAATCGACATTTGAATAACCGTGTAGTCTGTCGTTTTGAGCATCATCGTAGCAATTGTGTTTGCCAAACACAAGTTCAAGTGTTGGAGTCGACTGTAAGTATCGAGGCTCACGCTTTCGTGATGACAGTGTGTCGGACATGGATTGGATTTAAACTGGCTAGAGCTCTCACTGCAGCTGCAAAATCGGGTCGAATCGCGACCATGAGACACATTAAGCATCCAAATGCTTGGCGGTATACCACATTAATCATTGGATCTTTGTGTTTACACCCGCCGTCGCACATCAACGCTGTTAAGTGTAGACCTTTAGCTTGCGGCGTCTTTACGGGCTTACAGCTTTGCATCCCGAAATTGGTCAAGATCGACTGCAGAAGCTTTGACTGCCGAACATACAATGTGCCAGCATCGAAGTTGCGGTCAATTTACATACCGAGGCAAAGCTTGAGATTGCCCAATCCGGCACCTCGAAATGCTTGTTAAGCGCGCGCTTTATCGTCAAAAGAAGTGCCGTCGAGTTGCATGCAATAATTAAATTTTCGACGTAGAGAACGACAAACGCCAAGATTCCTGTGATGCCTCCATCGACTTCGCGCATGAAGTATGCGCAGTGTCCGGATATGCCTTTGTCGAGACTTAGACCTATCACGAAGTCATCAATTTTCTTGTTCCACATGCGCGGTGACTGATTCAATCCAGTAGTGATTTCTTCAGCTTGCAGACAAAGTCGGCCGGATATCGTGCATCGACATATCCATCGGGTTGCTGCATGCATATACATTCTTTGTCCAAGTCTCCGTTTAGACACGCGGTCTTGACGTCCATGTGATGCACGCGCAAGTCTTATTTGACGGAGAGCGCGAGAATAAAACGAAATGAGGTAAACTTCGCAACTGGCACAAACAAATTATCGTAGTCGATGCCGTACTGCTGTGCAAATTCTTTTGCCACCGGTCGTGCTTTGTGTCGTTTATATACTCCATGCTAATTTGCCTTGAGTTTGGAAACACACTTACGGACGATATCTTTGCGACCACGAGGCACTGGCGCGATGTCCCAAGTGTCGTTACTCATCGACGAGCCGTACTTTAAGTTGAACGCTACACGCCACTTGCTCGCGTCGTCGAATTCCAATGCAGACGCAAAGGTTGTTGAAAACCTCCCAATCAATGCACGATGTGAGCAGAGCGCGGTGCCGAAAGTTCGTCGAACGACAACGTCTTCAAGTTTGTTGCGGCAGACCAGCATTTAGGAAGCGAAGTATCGCCACCGGCTCGAGTGACTGTTATCGACTGTGACGTTTAAAACCGCTGATGTGGTCAGTGCCGCCTGAGAAACAATCGGTGTCATTAGCCGGAATGTCGTTGTCTTTAAAACAGGACTCCGAATTAGTATCGACGCCTATGGTTATTCGATACTTGTCGACTGGGTAAGCATTGTCACATTTACCAAAGACTCACGAACCGTCGTCAAACATGTTTTCAAAAAACTTGGCAACGTTGCTGACAAAAACGCGACCCGTAGAGATACCTTCGAATCGGTATTCTATCTCGTGCTCGGAATAAGCAATAACACGGCAGCGAACAGCTCTAGCGTCGAGCTTTTGTCGTTTCGGGCTTAGCACGTGAACATGTGCGTGGCAGCCGAAAATCTTCAAGTTCGCAAGATATGGAGGTTTTTCATTCCAACTTCGAATGGTGACTTGTTTTCCGTGTTTGAACGACTAAGACAGCGACTGCGCAAATAATTTGTAGTCATCAAAGCTTCGCTCCAATACTTCGTCATAAACTTCCCGTGCTCGACCATGCAACGCGCGCACTCAATGAGCGTTCGATTCAAGAGCTCAGCAACTACGTTGAGCTGCGGTGTATACGGCGGAGTAAATTGATGAACAGTTCCATGAAAGGCGCAAAAAAATTGACATTTTGTCGACTTGTACTCGCCACCGTTTCGCTGCGCAAGACTTTGACTCTACGACCAGTTTTTTTTCTTGGCCCACTTGGCGTAGAGCGCGAACTTGTCAACACACTCAACTCAAACTTGCTCGCCATCAAGTATACAACTGTGAAGCGAGACTTGTCGTCGATGAAAGGCACAAAGAATCTCTTGCCACAAAAACTTGCTGTCTACATAGCACCGCAAACGTCGCTGTGCACAACATCGAGAAGGTCAGTATAGCACGCAGCTGTTTAGTCTTTAAATGTTGATCGCGTTTGTTTGCCGACAGCACATCCCTCGCAAAGCTCCCACTTGTTCACGGAAACGATGTCGATCTCTATTCCGAGCTTGTTCTGCACGATCATGTCGAGTCCGCCATGGCCATTGTGGCCGAGTCGAAGGTGCCATAGATGTGACTTTGACTTTGAAGTCGAGTCGCTTAAAAAAACCGTGCGGTTGCAGCCGCTACTGGCTTAATTGTGATAGTCGGTGTCATGGCAAGCTGAAATAGGCCTTTGTCTATATGGTTTCCAATGATTTATTTCGAGACCTTCACTGTTGCGACACACTTTAAGCTGTCAATCGTGATCGGTCCGACATCGTGAGCGAAGCGAGTGACCTGAAATAAATCGCAATTTACTTCGGCACGAACCAAACACTGGTGAGCACACCCTTGCGCACAATGCAATGCATCTTCATCTCGATGTCGCCGGACCCGATTCAACCAGCCAGATCTTCAACGATTTTGTTACACTTCGGAATCGATATCGACTGCACCGACACGGGTATGAACAGATATTCTCTGTCATCATGCCCGTTTCTACGCGAGTTGTCGCGCGCAAGAATCGCCTGTCCATTACGCCAAGTTTCACTGTTCTCGTGTTCTTGAAGCTGAATCGGACAATTCGCGATTAATGGCCGTTTCCGCAGTGTCTGCACGCGCCTTTAGATTTCACCAAATATTTCATGTTTCGCTTCACGTTCGTGTAGAACGCTATTTCGGACGCACACACGCCGTCGTTCTGCTCCTTTGTGTGAGGTCTTCGTCCAGCAGAAAACTTGTCACTAGTTTTCTAGTGATCTCGTCCGAACCATATTCGAGCGCAGTTATCAGTAACTGAAACGAGTCGTTAAGGCTGCTCAAGAGTGTGATGACAAGGTATTCGTCGCTGACCGGTGCGCCGACCGCGTCGACCTGCTCCGCTAGTGTCTGCACTTGTGCTCCAGCACATTAACAAGACTGTTACAAATAGACAACGACGCAAGAAGAGCTTGTTAGCGAGACTCTTATTCTCAGAGTGCGTCATCAACGCCGTCCATGCTTCAAAAGCACCAAGTAAAGATTGCTCCAGTGGAAGCTGCAAGTCTTCCATCGCCAGACAGATGATTGCAAACGCGTTCCTCGCCTTCTGCTGTACATCACTTGGTCCTTGGACGTAAGACAGTGCTGGATTGAAGTCGTTATTCATGACGTCCCACAGGTCGCGGTCTTCCAGCACCATCTGCATCTTAAACTTCCACATGTAGAAGTTAGTGTCATCGACTTTGTCGATGCGAGCGGACGTCGTCGATGCGTCCAAGGCGGATGCGAGGGCTGCTGGCGCAGATTCAAATGGGCTTATGCTCATAAACTGAAGTCTTTGCTGATTGTTGGTATGACCTAAATTGCAAAGCGAACATTTTTAGGTCCTTAGTTCGCAACTTCTTCTTGCTACTTTAAGCCTAATGGACTCTTTGACCATGCAATAGTAATCGATACTACGCGCACTATTCATTGGAAAGTCGTACATGAGTAATCAACTTTACACCATTACTCATTGAATTGTCACACATGAATAATCAGCTCTCTAACCATTTCTCGTTCGATTGTCGCGTATGAACAACCACGAGTAACCATGTTACTCATGTCACTCATGGGATGGGCGCATTACTGATCGCCGGACCGTACCTTTATTTTGTCTCTTGCTGGCTGAGGTGTTTTCTTTACAACAAGAGCTTCCAAATGCTACTTGCAAGACGGACCCAAGACTTATCGTGCGATGGAATTAGTATTTCTTCAGACAAGTGCAAGCCCTGACAAAGGTTTCCGATTCATGTCGGGCGTGTGGACAAGTGGGCCTAGGAGCTGGGATGGAACCGTTCTAATGCTCATGAAGTGGCTAAAGTATGCTCAGGCGTACCGAGCTATACCTAAGGACGTGTTCGGCGACGATGCTGCCGTGAAAGTACGAATAGACAAGAAAAAGGCAGAAGAGACATTGTCGTTCATGAAGACGCTATACCGGAAAGAAGACACGAAGGGTCTCGCTGTCACACTGGAGCAGTCTGGCTCAGATTGTAGAAGTGGCGGAAGATCTATCGGTTGGTGTGAGAGTCCGAAGTCGAACACGAGTCCTTGAGCACGTGTAAATGGCACTTATTGCATGTAACGGGGTATTCCGTTATATGACATTGACAATAAATGGTGTCAATAGGGAGATTGTCTAGCGTGACAATTCCCTGCTAATATTACCCGAGATGGATAACATTGAAGGAATTTATCCCCTTTTGGGTATTATTCATGCGCTGCTCAAAGATTAATTGATAAAAGGCATATCATGTAACGGGGCTAGAATGACCCGTACTCAGCGTACACTATTTCTAACGCTTTGAGGAAGCTTAAAGCCCAAGTCTTAGGTATTAAGTATTTTTAACTCTGTTTATATTTTTATCTTTTAAATCATCCTAAGTACGAATGGTTCCCTTGGACTCATGGGAACCACTCAATCTACGTGCCTATATCTTACTGGCTAATAATGGTACTGAGCCCATTAAACCAGCAAAAATAAACGACGTGCTACTTTCGCTACTCCGAAAGTAACACCCCTACTTAAGTAACATGTAAACTTAATCGAACCTACTTATGTAACGGGGTGGCCCATTACATCACCCCTTTCTCAAGACAGCACTCACGAACCGTGAGTGCTCAACCACAAGACCCAACGACGCACAAGCCAAACGATGACTGAAGACGCAGACGCCAACACCACAGCACTCCCGCGCACAATCAGCGGGAGTTTAGTCGACCACGTGATGGATCGACACCTGATCCCTTGGGCGCTGTGTGACTTGTCCGGAGCTCGAGCTCCGGACTCTCTCGAAACGATGCAGGACTACTTCCGGCGTTTCCGTGGGTTGCGTGGAAAGAGTCTTGATGGCATCTCGTACGAGTCGCTCCAGCGGTCATGGTGTGCGTTCATCCGGCGGTGGAATTGGATGCTTGAAGACGGAAGAAACTTTCAGCAGTGGCTGGCCAATCGTGAAGATATCCACGCCGATCATTCCATCGGTGTACTGCGCGAGAAAATCTGTGAAAACGCATGGAACATAGATCGACTCTGCTACGTTCACGTGCACGAATCTTGTTATTCCTGTGACTCGATGCCTCGTCCAACTCGCGAAGCTTGGCAACGACACGTCGCTGAGCATCCACTCAGCGAGTATGAACAGCTCTGGATCGGACAATACAAGCGCAGCTTGATGGAGCACAAGACTGCGGTTAATCGTGGCACGTCACGCTGGCGACACCACTCGAGTTCTCGAGGTCGTGGCGCCATGCACTCGCCACGACGTTCTCGTTCGCGTGATCGTCGCGATACACGATTGTCGCGACGTTCTCGTCGTCGCTCTTCATCTCATCGTCGTGGTGAAACGTCACCACGACGTTCTCGCAATCGCTCTCGGTCTCGAAGTCGTGGTGACACTTCACCACGACACCGTCGTCGTGCATCTCGTTCTCGCTCACCGCGAGAACACACAGGTCGTCGACCAAGTCTGCACCAAGCGTGTGCAGGGACTCGTAAGCCCGAACGACGTCCGGAACGTCTCGAAGAAGCGAAGAGCGCGGTTCCCACGTATCCTGATCGGGTGGAAACCCGAGCCAACATACACGATACTTGCGCGCGGTTGGAACCGCGCGCTCATGGTGTCGCGACGATGTCGTTTCGCGACGAGGGTCCTCGTGACCCAGTAAACGCTCCACAATCCAGCGCTTCTGGCCTTTCGCGTCCACAAGCGGTGGTGGACCCTCACGATGGTACTGCTGGCGTCCTGGTTGCCCAGGACGATGTAGATGCGGCTATGAACAAGGCTGTTGATGCCCAGCTGGAGGCTGAAGCTGCCCTTGACCGAGCTGCGCGGGCTGAGAGAACAGCGAACGAGATTCGACAGTCGAACCGCGAGCTGCTTGAACGGATGCGGAACCTGGAACGCCAGGTTCTTGGGCACGCGCAGACTGGGACGCAGCCGCGTCCGATGTCGCTGGCGCGTCGAGCAAGGCGAGAGGAAAGGTCGACCTATGAGCCTTTGACTCCGAGGACGGAGCCAACCCGTGAAGAGTAGCTGGACGGTACTCCTTGAGCCGCCCGACGTAAAACGTCGGTTGAAGTCGCAGTGACGAAGGGATGGTCAGCGTGTATGCGTCGCCGATCGCCTTGAGTACCGTGAATGGTCCGATGAAACGTGGCGCGAGTTTGCTCGCGCCTAGATTGGTTACTGCTGAATCTCGTAGGCCTTCGGTAGTTAAAAATACACGATCACCCTTCTTGAATGTACTCGTGTTCTTTCTTCCACGTTTGTCTGCATTCGATTTCTGTTTATCCACTGCAGATCGAAGAGTATCGCGTACAAACCTCGTGATGGCTTGACGTTGGAGTATAAACTCTGACACAGCCATGTCATCAATTGGTCGCGCCGATTCAATCGGCGCGTAGTTAGCTTTAGGGTTTCGCATACTCGAAGAAGGATCGATCAGCGTCTGTGCAGTCCATTGAGCGAGCGGGGACGCCACGTCACGTGGCGTCGAAACAGAAGACTTCGCCTTGGAATGGTTGACAACATTCGCGCTCAGAATACCGTGAGCTTCACTCGATCGTTGTTTATCGTTATCACCCCCCGCCAGAGTGGAGCCACGAAGAGCCGTGGGCTGACCCACGGCAAGAAGAGTAGGTACACGAGGATGACGGGCCGAATTTGCAAAAAATGGCGTCAACCCCGTTGACGCGTGAACCGCGTTGTTTAGTGCAAACTCCGCGAGTGGCAAAAACGCACTTCAACTTGTAAAGGACGTTGCGTAATTTCGAAGAACATCTTCGAGGACCCGATTAACTCACTCTGTTTGCCCATCCGTTTCCGGATGGGCTGCTGTCGACATTTGCAGCTTTGTGCCAAGCAACTCGAACAATGACGTCCAAAAAGCAGATGTAAAACGAGGATCACGGTCCGAGACAATGTTGTCTGGTAGACCGTGATGGCGAAACACAGTGTCAATGAAGTGCACCGCGGTCTCAGCCGCGGTGATCGTTGCATGAACAGGCACCAGATGTGTCATCTTGCTGAATCTGTCGACAAAGACCAGAATACCCGTTCGGTCTTGGCCATCTGGTGCAAGCCCGAAGATATAATCCATTGAGACTGAGCTCCAAGCCTCAGCTGCAGTTGGCAGGGGTCGCAGGGGTGCCTGCGACGATGGATATGGCTTCACGCGCTGACATATTTCGCAGGTGCGAACCCAGTTGCGAACCCATTTGTACATGTGGTGCCAAAAGAAGTCACGCGGGACAGCCGCGAATGTCTTTTCGCGGCCCAGATGACCGCCAATTGGGGCATCATGTTACTCGTGGATGATACGAGCACGCAAATCCAAGTCATTCGCAATCACCGTTCGAGGTGCATCGAATTTGTCGATGCTATATAACAGCAAATCACCGTCCATACTGTATCGTCGAATGTAATCACGCTTCGTTCGCGAAAGAGCTCCCAGTGCAGCCTCACTGGGAGCGCGCAGATAGGCGATAATGTCCGCGTAATCCGGGTCGTTCGCGTAAGCCGCGACAATTTCATCGAAAAGGCATAACTCGGGTGTGACCCGAGTTAGATTCAACGACACACACGTCGCACATCGATCGTCTTCATCTTCGTCGTCAGTTGCCTGACGACTCAGTGCCATACGAGGATCGTAATCTGGGCGTCGTGACAGTGCGTCAGCAAAAATGTTGGTCTTTCCTGGCTTGTAGTGCACGACGAAGTTGTACTCGGAGAAGAAAGAGAGCCACCGTGCCATCCGCTGTGACAGGTGTGGGCTCTTCATTGCTGTTCGCAGCGATGCATGATCAGTACACAGGGCGAACGTGCGTTCGCCCAGTAGGTGGACACGAAACTTGATGAGTGCATAGCGCATCGCTAGCAGTTCCTTATCGTGAACCGGATAGTTCTTCTCTGCTGGCTTCATCTGTCGTGACTGGTAGCTCACGACTCGTTCACGGCCCTCATGATCAAACTGCATGAGGGCGCAACCAATTGCAAAGTCACTTGCATCACACACGACGTGAAACGGCTTGGTGTCGTCAGGGAGTATCAACACTGGCGCCGACGCCAGGCTCTTCTTCACTGCGTCAAAGGCTGCTTGATGTTCGGGACGCCACGACCACGTTGCGTCTTTCTTCAGAAGTGACGACAGGGGCTGTATAGAACCGGCGTAATCCTTTGTGTACTTATGCAAGTAATTAGCTAGACCGAGCCTTTGACGTAACTCCGTAGGGCTCTTGGGTGTGGGCCAAGAACAGATTGACGACACCTTCTCTGGATCGGCTCGAACACCCGATTTACTCACGTAGCAGCCCAGCACCGGAATCTCCGGTGCACAGAATGCACACTTCTTCAAGTTTGCAAATAACTTGTTATCTCGCATGACTTGAAACACCTGCTTCAGGTGTTGAAGGTAGACTTGGACAGCACTGAGGTTGCCCTCAGCGCGACTGTGGACAAAAATGTCATCGAAGTAGCTAGGAGCAAAGTCTCGAAGCGGTCTCAACACTTGAGATACCATGCGATTGAAAGTGGCTGGTGCGTTCTTCAATCCTTGTGGCATCACCAGCCACTCCCATAGCATACCACTCGGGGTGGACACCGCAGTGAGTGGTATGTCAGTCTGTAGCATCAAGATCTGGTAGAAGCCATCGGTCAGATCGATGGCGCTGAAGATGACGCTACCTGACATGGAGTTTAGAACCATGTCTTTCCTGGGGATAGGCGTTTGGGCAGGAATAGTGGCATCGTTGAGCTTGTTAAACGCATGCACTATACGCCAGCCTCCCGTAGCCTTCTTCACGCAGAAGGTTGGGCTCGAATGGGGTGAGACACTCTCACGCACATGACCGGCCTTGCGACGACCTTCGAAGAATGCATCAATATCCTCGACTTGGTCTCGAGGCAACGACCACTGGCGTGTCACACAATATTTCGATCCTGGCACGAGATCAATCTCGTGCCGCACGCCACGATCGGCAGGGAGTTTGGCCGGAATCTTGTCCGGGAACACGTCGGCGTACTCTCGTGCAATGTCGTAAACAGGGTTACCAGACTCGCGCAGAGCCTCCCAAGATTGCGACGCAAATCTTTCTTCGCGCGCTGACTTTTGCTCAGCGCTTCGAGGGCGCGTCATTCGCTCCTCATTCGGCTCATAGGTCACCTCGTTGGTGACCAGACATACTTGTTCCACCGTGCCTCCCATGAGGTCACGTAGAAAATGCTTCCAGGAGAGTCCTGGAAGGCTCGTAATCGACGACGCGTCGCGAGGTGGACTCGCGACCTCAATGTATTGGCGCCTTTGTGGACTCCCGTCCACGTACACAATAGCGTGGACACATTCCAACGCTGAGTTCTCGTAGCTTGCGTCCCCATCGTGCTTCGAGTCCTTGCTCGAAGCTGGCGAACCGCAGTCAGGTGTTAAATCTGCACCCCCCTCTAGACGCTGGATGTCCTCATCCAGGACGTCGAAATCGCGTGACGGGAGTAGTCCATACTCGTCCGTCGACGCATGATGCGGGAGCCCCTGCTCTACCGCCACAAACTCCTGTGGGAGCCCCTGCTCTACCGCCACAAACTCCTGTGGGAGCCCCTGCTCGACCACGTCTTGCTCACGTGGGAAACTCTGTTCGACCACAGTAGGCGACGATGGGAACCCCTGTTCGACCATCATTTCCGCACGTGGGGACTCTTGTCCATCCACGTCACACTCGGTGGCGAGCCCCTGCTCGGCCACATCTTGCCCTTGTGGGAGCCTCTGCTCGACCACAATGGGTGCAGGTGGGAACACTTGTTCGTGTTCGACCACTACTCTCTCGTGCGGGAACCGCTGTTCGACCGCGTCGTCGTCGCGCGGGAGCCACTGCTCGTCCGCGTCGTCATTACGCGGGAGCCACTGCTCGTCCACGTCGGACTCCTCGCTGCAAAGCGAGGAGACATCATCACTCGTGCGTAGGGGCACGGAACAAGCGGTACAGAGAGGGCCATCGCTCACTCTGTGTACCGCCGGTGTCGTGGATGTACGATCCACGACTGTAACGTTCGGCCAATCACTTGGAGACACCAAGAGATGGGTGAACACTTCGCTGACGTCGAACTTGCTTCGACGTCTCACTGATCTGGCTAACCAGTCGATCTGGGGCTTATAGCGTGCCAACCATGGCATGCCCAGGATGCAATAGATTGAATAATTCATTTAAATCACCAAGAAATTGTCGTTACTGCGAAAGCCGTCAAACGTGTACGGCAACGACACTTCGCGCCGCGATACGCGGCGTGGTTTCCCGTCAGCGAGCTTGACAACAACTTGGCCAGGTCCCTCGTGGATCTGGATGCTGGGTGGCAGCATTGACACGCAAGATTCACGGAAGAAATTGTTTGTCGCTCCTGAATCCAGGAGCGCTCGTAGAGGTCGCCGGATACCGGCGACATGTAGATTAACAATAATCAGGCGTGAATCACCACTCGTAGTGGTGGCATTTGACCGTGCACGCAGCACAGATGGGCTGGGAGGTCGGGCTGCCACCGGTGGACCCGGACCTCCCTTCAAACCAGTAGGGCGCCCTGCACCTATTGGTCTCGTCCATTTTTTGGACGACTGATCGGACCACCTCCCTCATGATGGGTGTCCGTCGCATGCACCGACATCGGTGCTGGCGCGCGGCATTCAGCCGCGCGATGTCCCGGCTTTCGGCATCGAAAGCAGATCATCGGACGTCCGCCTCGGACGTCGCCCTTTTAGGCTGTAGCGCGTCGTCGGTCACCCGACGACTCAATTGCATCGATCTCCATAGGTTCCGGGCCCGCTGATCTGACAGCGGTAACAACTGAAGGCTTGGTATAGGCCTTGGTGACTCTGAAGTCCTCACGGAGAGCGATAGCGAAAGCCTCCTCCAATGTGGCAGGCTCTGCTCGTTCCAGCGAGAGGCGAGTCTGCCCTTCACGCATGCCATCAACAAACACGTTCACTTGTGTATACATGTCCATGGGATGCGTGATAATGCAAGACGCCAGATGTCGAGCCATCTGCACATAGTCGCGCAGGGACATCTTACCCTGTCGCAGGGACAGGAACCTTGAACGCACCAACTTCTCTTCCTGGGGCGGCTAGAAGGCGAGTCGAAGGTCACTCTGGATGGCTTCCAGAGTGGGAAACGCAAACTCGTCAACAACGAGTTTTCCCAAGGCCCACTCCTTGGCTTTCCCAGTGAGACGGGAAATAAGGAAATTGACCTTCGCTTGAGGAGCCTCGAGAAGTCTCGAGGCGATAGCGATGTCGACCTCTCGAAACCAACGAGACAACGACAAGCGTTCTTTTCCTTCGCCAGAATAGGCGGAGGTCTCCATCTTCACGGCATCGTTCCGTGAAGTCCGCGAGGGAGTTAAACCTCGCCGATGGGATTCGGCGAGCTCGCGAGCCATGTAGTCGTGTATGGCGAGACGCTGTCCATCAGGAGTAGCTGATCTCATCAGCGACACAACGAATGCCTCTCCAGATATCGCTGCGAGGCGATTTAGGGCATCCCACTCAACACCAGTGAGATGGGGAAAAGTCGCGTGCTCCAGACTCACGTCTGGAGCGTCAAAGTACGACGAATCGCTCATCCCAAACTCGGGCATGGGAAGGACTACTAAGTGCTACCAGGTGTAACGGGGCTAGAATGACCCGTACTCAGCGTACACTATTTCTAACGCTTTGAGGAAGCTTAAAGCCCAAGTCTTAGGTATTAAGTATTTTTAACTCTGTTTATATTTTTGTCTTTTAAATCATCCTAAGTACGAATGGTTCCCTTGGACTCATGGGAACCACTCAATCTACGTGCCTATATCTTACTGGCTAATAATGGTACTGAGCCCATTAAACCAGCAAAAATATACGACGTGCTACTTTCGCTACTCCGAAAGTAACACCCCTACTTAAGTAACATGTAAACTTAATCGAACCTACTTATGTAACGGGGTGGCCCATTACATATCAACCATACATTACCTCCAATCGCTGCTAGACCGCGTAATGAGTGGTGAGCAGGTTGTCGTCATGCGACAATGTATAATAATATAGTTGAATAACGACTGAAGTTAAATTGATAGCTTTACTTTGTTAAATAAGTTCTCTTTTCGCCTTTACTCGAACTAGCTGTTTGAGTAGATTAGCTTCCTCTGCACGTACTAGTGTACGTGGCACCCCACACAAAGGGTGCCCCGTTACATTTCATTGGCGCAGTTTGCGTCTAGACCAATAGAGAGCAGGTAAAACTCGCCGACCTATTTTCTGAAGGTTGTGCAGTGGTTGTATTTTGTAAACATCAGCGGTCACGAGCTAACGACTTTGGTAAAGATGGAATCATTGGTCACTGTCTCGCACCTTCCAGACTGTCGTACAGCTAACACATATAAGCTGAAACGCACTCGATGATTACTAAATTACAGAAAAAAAACTTCAACACTAAATGCACATGTCCAATCCAGCTTATGTTATTCATGTCAAGTCTGTCTCTAATTCTAAGTCTATATCAACGTCGTTCATGAGGTGGCAAATGTAGCGCGGATTCTATTTACCACAAAATTTCCCAAGTCACATCGTGTATGACCACGAAAATCTACTTCTCAACGCCGCACTACAAGGAATCAGTTCAGCCGAAACAGGCTGTTGCATAGCCAGCAGGTCATCTCAATCTTAACAAAAAGTCTGGTAGAGAGCGAGCGCGAGACTAGCAGCTCGCCATTCACACGGTCATGTGCGTCCGATCAACTGGTTCCGAAATGCTTTGCTCTTTCTTTAGCAGAAAGAGTACGCAACAATTAATAGATCGAAGCGGTTAGTGCCTCAGGCTACTTGTAACGGGGCACCTTTTGTTTGGGTGCCACCAAACTTCACGTTCACTAGTACGCGCAGAGGAAGCTAATTTACTCAACAACTATGTTCAGTAAAGGTAAAAAGAGAACTGTATTTGATACAGTTAATCTGTCAATATAACTTTGATCTTCATCTAGTAATATTGAACTCCGTCGTCGTTGAAGACAACTACTTACCACTCATTGCGCGCGTCTAGGAGAGATTGGTGGTAATCTATGGTTGATATGTCTTTTATCAACCAAGCTTTGAGCAGCGCATAAAATACTACCCAAAAAGGGATAACATTCCTTCAATATTAACCACCTCGGATAATATTGGTAGAATGTTGTCAAGCTAGACAATATCTCTATTGACACCGTTTGGTGCCAATATCATGTAACGGGCTACACCTTTACATCACCCCCCCCTTAACCATTAATCACCCGTTGATTGAATAAAATTGATTGGGACAGGGTGACCACCGTTGGATCACTCTGGGAAAGGGAGCACTTGTTGGTCAAATCCTATTCATTTGCCAATTCAACGCATGGTTTCGAAAACCAAGCGAGTTGCTACTGCAGCATCAAGAGAGGCAGCTACACGCATGAGTGCAGCCGGGAAAGCTATCTCTCACACCTCAGCGGCAGGTGATTCGTCGCCTGTTGTTGTGAACAGTCCACGTGGTGAGTCACCACGTGCGACAGGTACATCCGTTGCGTCTGCAGCGGGTACCACGAGTCGTAATCAAGATGAGTCTGAGATAGAGCTCATCTATTCTGGCGAGTTGGATGGTTTATCCGACTCGAAGGCGACACCTCACGCCTCCGGATCACCCGGGATGGACACTGCAAGAGCCAGGTTGACTGGCTCTGGTCAACGTGGCGGCATCATGCTCGAGATCTCCGGATCGAGCGATTGTTCCGACGAGTTCTCGCCTCACGCGAGTCCATCCGACGATAGGACGCGTGGGGTTGGTGGTGATGCACCTATGCATCACCACGAGCGAAGTAGCTCGAGGGATCGAGCTGTCACTGGTGTTAGTGCTCATGCTGGCACCAATCAAGAGACCAGGGACCGAAATGTCCTGCGCCACGCTCCTCAAGTGGAGTCTACGTGAATGCCGTCATCCAGAGAGTTGGACCGGTTGGCCGGCATGACTACCAAACGGGATCGAATCCCGTTGTTCGATTGTAGGAAGATTTGCCCACCTAATTCCAGCACGGAAACTATCCGTGCAGAGGAAGAATTCTTCACCGATGCATTTTTCAAACATCGGTGGTACAATGGCAGCCGCGTTCGAGACGGAATGGCCTTAGTGCAAGGATGGAATGCCCTCATCCATAGCATCGAGTGCATTGGCCGTGAGGCCTGGGTCGGTAAACTTGATACAGCTCGCATCAGGTTTGAGAAGCGCAACCCAGTCGGGGTGCGATACAAGGTGCACCGGCTGTCAAGAGATGCATGATTACCCTGTCTCTCGTGGGGTGATTCGTGTCCAGGTTGGCTGAAAAACTCTAATTGTGCCCCTAGGGAGGCCTACCTCCCTAGTGATCCCTACTGGAGGGCGCGCATCTCTTCTGAGATGGCCGAAGGGATTGTAACTTTGCAATCCCTGTACTCGCGTTCGAGGAGGTCGTTTTCCGACGGCCATTCTTCGAACGCAGCGGGTGGGTCTCGGCATACTGCTCGACGAGACCCAGGACATCTACAATCAGCTGGACACGAGACTCCCAGCTGTTCCACGCCGGTCGATAGCCACGCCAGCGGACGAGGTAGCTCGTCCGGACGCCATTCACGTCGCGGTGGTTCAAAATACGCTCCATCAGAAACGTTGACCACCTCCTGAGTCCACCAAAGGATGTGGTGGCGGCGGGAACCTCTGATCCCTTCTCGAGGGTCGGATCAGCTTGATGTTCAGGGGCTGAACCGTGTAACCGATCAGTTACAAGATGAACTGGCTCACGAACGGACTCGGCGTTATGGGCTTGAGGATCTTGTGAGGGATAATTAAAATTCCCTAATGCACGATCGTCCGAACGATCGTGCCGCGTTTGCGTTCGCGCAACTTGAGAACGAACTTTCGACTCGTTCTATGCGTGACGAGCTAACTGCTGCTCGTCGAGACATCGCTGAGCTGCTTGAACAGGTCGCTTCGCTAGTCGACCAGACTGGCTCGTTGAAACGGGACCCTTCGAGGGTGGTCTCGGCTCTCGACCGCGGAGGTATTCTTCGCATCTCGAAACGGGCTCATACTGATAGTACGGGTGGAGACGACCGACGTAAAACGTAGGATGCGTACGCATCTTACGGGGCAGTTCAATTGTGAATTCGTTGCCCATTCGGCGCAACACACGAAACGGACCGATGTACTTGGGCAGTAATTTACTGCTGCCCACTTTTGTCACTGCGTGCTTCGGTATGTTTACTGTAGACAGTAGAACTAGGTCTCCTTCATCAAATGAAAGAGCATTTGCTCTTCCATGTTTGTCTGCGTTTCTTTTCTGTTTGTCTGGTGCATCTGCAATCGATTCTTGAACGAAGCGGACAACCGCTTCGCGAGTCAGCAGAAATTTCTCTGCTGACTCATCCTTGTCAACAGCAGTGCGCTTCGTGTGCACCGCTGAAAGAACTTTGTCTTCACCAGTGAGGGCGTCATAGTCCTAACTGTGGCAGTCATTGGCGATGCTGAATATTCCAGCATCATTGTCATCATCATCATCATCGGTACCGATCGCATCGACATCGGCATCCACCACGTCGACACCATTGTCGACAGCTGATGAGGAAGAAGTAGATCGGTTTTTGCTCGAGCGAGTCCTTCCCCCCTTAAACGAGAGTCACACTCTAAGAAGGCGGGTAAACGTGGATGGCGTAGGCCATTCACGAAGAACGGTGTATGCGTTGTCGACGCGTGCACCGAGTTGTTGGTGGCGAATTCCGCCATTGGCAAAAAAACTCACTCCAACTCGTAAACGAGTGGACAGACCCTCGAAGTATCTCTTCGAGGACGCGGTTGACGCGTTCCGCCTGACCATCTGTTTCTGGATGGTCAGAAGTCGACATCTTAAACGTGTTCCAAGTGAACGGAACACGGATTACCAGAACTCCACTGTAAAGCGGGGGTACCTATTAGGCACGAGCTCACGGGGTAATCCGTGAAGTCGTAAGATATTATCGATGAAGACACGAGCACAGCCCTGAAATGTGATTGACTCCGGTACAGCAACAAGATGTATTATCTTGCTGAACCGATCAGCAAACACTAGAGCATCAGTATTCTTGTGAACGTCTTTGGGAAACACGAAGACGAAGTCCATCGATACGGACTGCTAACACTCTGCCGGAATTGGTAGAGGCTGCAAGGGTGCGCGGGATGAAGGACTAGGCTTCACCCGTTGACAAACTTACAAACTCATACTGGCGGGGTCAGTAGAAGTCACGACTCACCATGAGTTAAGTCTTTTCCCTACCGCAATGCTTACTTGTTGGGGCATCGCGACACTCATACATGATGCGCAATCGCAAATCATTATGAGCCGGAACGAAGACACGAGGTGTGTCGCCGTTGACTGCTGTATAGTACAGCAGTCCATCACGAACCGAATACCGTTCGGTTGAAGAGCGGTATTGAGACGACAAGCTTTTCAAAGCTTGACTGCAGGATTAGATACGTAATCCATAAATCGCAGAAGAGACTCATCTTCTGTGTAAGCTTCACGCACGTCGTCGAGCAGATTCGACGACGTAACGCTCATTGTTAGTGTCTCTACAGTGGGATCACCCCTATTGGTGTGTTGAGCAGTCGGCTAGAAATCGGGCCAACGCGAAAGAGCATCAGCGACGACATTAAGCCGTCCTGGTTCATACTCGACGGAGAAGTTGTACTCCGCGAAGAAAGACAGACACCTCGCCATTCATTGCAAGAGGTGTGGACTGTTTACGGCCGTGCGTAACGTCGCATGGTCGGTATAAACGATGAAGGGCCTATCTCCTAAGATATATTTCCGAAACTTAGCCAGTGCATATTTCATGGCAAGGAGTTACTTGTCATGCTCAGGTAATTGCGCTCAGCGGCTTGCAGCTGACGCGATTGATTACAGACGACGCGCTCAACGCCGTCTGAGTCGTACTGCATTAACGCGCAGCCGATTACAAAATCGCTGGCGTCACAGAACACATGGAATGGTCTGTCCTAGTCTGCAATCGCCAACACAGGCGATTGTATCAAGCTTTTCTTGATACCTTCAAATAGTGCTGACACTCAGCACTCCATCGCCACCTCTCGTTTTTTAGCAGACGAGAGATGTGTACGGTCATCTCGGCGTAGTTGCGCGAATACTTGTGCAAGTACGCCGCCAAGCCAAGGATCTGTCGAATTCCCTTAATGTCGACTGGCACGGGCCAGTCGCTAATCGCCTTTATCTTTTCCGGATCAGTGCGTACACCGTTTTACCCACGATGCAGCCAAGAAGTGGTATTTCGTTCGATGCTAATGTACACTTCTTGAGATTCGCGATCATCTTATGCTCTCGCATTAGTGTAAGAACCTTCCGGACGTGGATTCTATGAACCTCCACGTCCGTATTTCCATCCATAGCCCGGCTATGGACGAAGACATCGTCAAAATAACTCGGTACGAAGTCGCGCACCGATCGCAACAGATTTGTAACACATCTGTTGAACGTTGCGGGGGCGTTACTTAGCCCCTGTGGCATCACTAGCCACTACCAGAGCATACCACTGGGGGTGCTCACTTCCGTGTAAGGGATGTCCCGTTCACGCATGAGGTACTGATAGAATCCATCCATCAGATCCATGGATGGAAAGATGGTACTTTTGCCATATCATCAATGACGACGTCCTTCCTTGTTATCGGCGTTTGAGCCGGTACCGTTGCAGCGCACAATTTGTTGAACGCGTGCACTATCGGCCACTCTCCTGTGACCTTTCGCACACAGAAGGTCGGAGAGCTGTGTGGGGGGTGTTGATTCCCTCACATGACCAGCCGCTAAGCGATCGACAAAGAATTTGTCGATCGTTGTGACCTGTTCACGAGGCAGTGGCCACCGCTTCATGACACAGTTTTTTGAACCGGGTTTCAGTTCGATCTCATGCCAAGTGCCTTTTTTCCTCAGGCAGATCGAACGGCACGGATTCAGGGAAAACATCCCCGGAATTCAACTAAATACTTACACAAAGGATTTGTCTTCAAATACTCCCATTGAGACGTGTATCGCTCAATCCGAGTCTTCTCATCGAGGAAACTCTCGTCCATCGATGAACTACTGAGAACCCGTTTGTTCTCAGCAAACACTTGTGCCGACCGAATATCGGCGACGTACTTGTCCTCTGTGAAGAGCACGTAGATCTGCTTGATCTTGTCACTACGCAGATCTCGCAAGAATCTTTTAGATTCTAGCATTGGCAACTCGACAAACTTTGAAGCTGACTTCGGGGGTGAAACCAGATCAAGTTTATAAGCGCCTACACTTGATCCGTCATTCACCAAGACATTCACTGTCTCGGTGATTTCCTGGGAGAACACATCCGCAGGTGGTTAGGGATCCACACCCTCAACGCAACTCTCTCGGGAGTCATCACTCTCAGGAACGCTTGAACTTTCTTCCAATACGTGTACTGACTGTGGGGTACTACCACAGTCACGTCCTCTTCGATCGACTTTCTTTCAGTCGATCGGGCTTGCTCTACGACCGACTCCCTGATAGTCGGTCTTGCTTCAACGTGTTGTCATCCTGAACAACACTAATCTCTCTTCTCGGATGCACCCTTCTTGGTGTGCATCCGTGTTCAAGTCCACTCGATTTCTTCGGGTGGTGAACCTTCGGCGCAGCCTATGTCTCTACACAGATGCCGGAAGCTGGTTCCACAGTGTAGTGGCATTCTACACTGTGATCTTGTGCAATCGTACTAACGACCGTACCACAAGTGAGGCCATCGCACTCACTCGTAGTTCATCCACACGCTTGTGGACGCTCCAAGACGTTCATCATATGGCCATCCGATGAACAAACGGCAGGCATCTTCATGGATCGATGCTGCCAGCTAATCCATGGCTGGTATTTCTAAACCATGGCAGACCGAGGATGACATCAAATTTGTCATCTAAATCCAGTACGATGGATTCATCATCGTACTGCTTTTCCTCTAGCGTGTGGTGGATTCCCACTACACGTTTGTTCACTGTTACGGATGCGCCTGTAGCAAGGCACACCGTCATCGTCGTTGGAGGGAACTCTCGCTCAACATAGTTGAGCCTACTATCCTCTAGCGACTGGCGTCGAAAAAAACTGTTCGACGCCCCACAGTCAAATAGGGCGCAAAGTGACATTCCACTTGTCACTTCGATCTTCAAAGTGATGAGAGACTCCTCATCACTAGGGGCAGTAACACACAGCGACTTTGTGTTGGGAGCAATCTTCGTCAAGCGTCCTACAAACTCTCTTGACGTTGCTGGATCAGCAAGTTGCTCCGCCCCTACTGATCCTGTTAGTTTTTTGACGGTCCGACTTGCTGTCGAGGCTTACCGACATGGTCGGGCCCACGCCTTGGACCTTTCCTTGGGCAGAGGTGGACATCACATCCTGTCTTTGGACGTGTTGCGGTGCTTGGGACACTGCACTCATGGGCGTAGTGTCCAATCTTCTGACATCGATGTCATCTTGCCGTTCGCTTGTGACTCAGAGAGCGAGAGCTCTCGCTCTCGATATAGCAGAGGTCCATTGGTTCGGGACCTCCTGTTTCCTGTCGTCTCGTCGGACGATAGTTTGACGAGTTAGCCTGAGACTGTCTCGGGCTGAAGTCTTCTTGTTCCGTATACGCTATCGCCTTTTCCAGCGTGTGGAAGTCCTCTCCGGAACATGTAGGTTTTCACCGTTCCATCTACAAGGCCGTAGAGGAACACGTTGATGAGCGTGTGCTCATCAACAGGATTCTCCGTAACGCTACTCGCAAGGTAGCGCTACTGTTGTGCATAAGCATGCACGTCACGCTTACCTTTCTTTAGCCTCAGGAGTGAAGAGCGTTCTCTAAACTCGACTTTTGGTGGCTCAAACGTTTCTTTGAGCCGAGACTTCAAGATCTCTAACGAATCAAACACGTTTGGGTCGTGAAGATTGATCCGTAAGGCCCAAGTCTTTGCTCGTCCCGTCAAATTTGACAGGGCGAAGGTGACTTGCATCTCGTCACCCTCGATGTGACGGGCTCCGATGGCATCGTCTAACTAGACGAAACACCTCAAAAGGGAATCTTCATCGGTTCCCTTGTACCTTGAGATATCTATCTTCAAGGTTTCGGGTTGACGCATGTGCTTCGGCCCGCCCATAGAATGGTGAGAGCCTTACAGTTGTACCAAGGCTATCTTGTGTCTTTCGACGGCGAGTTCCCATTGTAGGAACTAGTTGATAGCAGCATGTTGCTGGTCTCTGCTTAGAGACTCCAACATACCACTGATGGCGGGTTCGCCCATGAGCACACTCATGCGGCCGACTACCTCCCATTCTGAGTCACTCAGATGGGAGTAGCCTTCACGTGTGACGTGAAAGCTGTCGTCTTCTACGTCCAACATGTTCATGTTGGACGGACACTAAGTAGTCGTTGGACGGACTACGAAGTGCTACCAGGTGTAACGGGGCACCCTTTGTTTGGGGTGCCACGAAACTTCACGTTCACTAGTACGCGCAGAGGCAGATAATTTACTCAACAACCATGTCGAGTAAAGGTAAAAAGAGAACTGTATTTATTACAGTTAATCTATCAATATAACTTTGATCTTCATCTAGTAATATTGAACTCCGTCGTCGTTGACGACAACTACTTACCACTCATTGCGCGCGTCTAGAAGAGATTGGTGGTAATCTATGGTTGATATGTCTTTTATCAACCAAGCTTTGAGCAGCGCATAAAATACTACCCAAAAAGGGATAACATTCCTTCAATCTTAACCACCTCGGATAATATTGGTAGGATATTGTCATGCTGGACAATATCTCTATTGACACCGTTTGGTGCCAATTTCATGTAACGGCCTACCTCGTTACAGTGGTGGTGTTCGTGCTGCCGTACTTTGCATTTCACTTCCATAAGTTAGGTGCAACAACGTGATGGATTGATTCTCTAGGTCTACGAAATTGTGATGTGTGCTGGAAATAGTTTTAGAGGTTGTTTAAGCGAATAGCTTTAGGGCGGGTAAAGTAAGTCGCGATCTCTATAGAATTTGTATGACATGCAAGTTGGAACGAGAACAAGATGAGTTACTTGTAAGAGAAAGAATTGAGAAGCTTGCAGTCCACACCAGTCATTGAGACGGATATCAGTTGGTCGGGCAACGCGGTACACGTTGGGTGGCAGGTGAGATAATCACGGCAATATATTTAATGAGAGATCTTTAGCTTGGACTACACGATTCGTGAACGTTCGGGAAGTGCCGAGATCTGGATACAAAAAAGCGTCTGCGTTGCTTTTGCTGCACTCATCATGCGTATTCCCGATCGCCATTCGGCCAAAATAGGCGACTCGGGCATGGAGGGCGTACGGTCAAGACGAAATTGACCACGGACGCAATGATGTGAGAACGGATAAGTAGTGTAACGGGGTAGCCCGTTACATGATATTGGCACCAAACGGTGTCAATAGAGATATTGTCTTGCTTGACAACATTCTACCAATATTATCCGAGGTGGATAAGATTGAAGGAATGTTATCCCTTTTTGGGTAGTATTTTATGCGCTGCTCAAATCTTGGTTGATAAAAGACACATCAACCATAGATTACCACCAATCTCTGCTAGACGCGCGCAATGAGTGGTAAGTAGTTGTCGTCAACGACGACGGAGTTCAATATTACTAGATGAAGATCAAAGTTATATTGATAGATTAACTGTAATAAATACAGTTCTCTTTTTACCTTTACTCAACATGGTTGTTGAGTAAATTAGCTTCCTCTGCGCGTACTAGTGAACGTGAAGTTTCGTGGCACCCCAAACAAAGGGTTCCCGTTACACCTGGTAGCACTTCGTAGTCCGTCCAACGACTGCTTAGTGTCCATCCAACATGAACATGTTGGACGTAGAAGACGACAGCTTTCACGTCACACGTGAAGGCTACTCCCATCTGAGTGACTCAGAATGGGAGGTAGTCGGCCGCATGAGTGTGCTCATGGGTGAACCCGCCATCAGTGGTATGTTGGAGTCTCTAAGCAGAGACCAGCAACATGCTGCTATCAACTAGTTCCTACAATGGGAACTCGCCGTCGAAAGACACAAGATAGCCTTGGTACAACTGTAAGGCTCTCACCATTCTATGGGCGGGCCGAAGCACATGCGTCAACCCGAAACCTTGAAGATCGATATCTCAAGGTACAAGGGAACCGATGAAGATTCCCTTTTGAGGTGTTTCGTCTAGTTAGACGATGCCATCGGAGCCCGTCACATCGAGGGTGACGAGATGCAAGTCACCTTCGCCCTGTCAAATTTGACGGGACGAGCAAAGACTTGGGCCTTACGGATCAATCTTCACGACCCAAACGTGTTTGATTCGTTGGAGATCTTGAAGTCTCGGCTCAAAGAAACGTTTGAGCCACCAAAAGTCGAGTTTAGAGAACGCTCTTCACTCCTGAGGCTAAAGAAAGGTAAGCGTGACGTGCATGCTTATGCACAACAGTAGCGCTACCTTGCGAGTAGCGTTACGGAGAATCCTGTTGATGAGCACACGCTCATCAACGTGTTCCTCTACGGCCTTGTAGATGGAACGGTGAAAACCTACATGTTCCGAGAGGACTTCCACACGCTGGAAAAGGCGATAGCGTATACGGAACAAGAAGACTTCAGCCCGAGACAGTCTCAGGCTAACTCGTCAAACTATCGTCCGACGAGACGACAGGAAACAGGAGGTCCCGAACCAATGGACCTCTGCTATATCGAGAGCGAGAGCTCTCGCTCTCTGAGTCACAAGCGAACGGCAAGATGACATCGATGTCAGAAGATTGGACACTACGCCCATGAGTGCAGTGTCCCAAGCACCGCAACACGTCCAAAGACAGGATGTGATGTCCACCTCTGGCCAAGGAAAGGTCCAAGGCGTGGGCCCGACCATGTCGGTAAGCCGCGACAGCAAGTCGGACCGTCAAAAAACTAACAGGATCAGTAGGGGCGGAGCACCTTGCTGATCCAGCAACGTCAAGAGAGTTTGCAGGACTCTTGACGAAGATTGCTCCCAACACAAAGTCGCTGTGTGTTACTGCCCCTAGTGATGAGGAGTCTCTCATCACTTTGAAGATCGAAGTGACAAGTGGAATGTCACTTTGCGCCCTATTTGACTGTGGGGCGTCGAACAGTTTTTTTCGACGCCAGTCGCTAGAGGATAGTAGGCTCAACTATGTTGAGCGAGAGTTCCCTCCAACGACGATGACGGTGTGCCTTGCTACAGGCGCATCCGTAACAGTGAACAAACGTGTAGTGGGAATCCACCACACGCTAGAGGAAAAGCAGTACGATGATGAATCCATCGTACTGGATTTAGATGACAAATTTGATGTCATCCTCGGTCTGCCATGGCTTAGAAATATACCAGCCATGGATTAGCTGGCAGCATCGATCCATGAAGATGCCTGCCGTTTGTTCATCGGATGGCCATATGATGAACGTCTTGGAGCGTCCACAAGCGTGTGGATGAACTACGAGTGAGTGCGATGGCCTCACTTGTGGTACGGTCGTTAGTACGATTGCACAAGATCACAGTGTAGAATGCCACTACACTGTGGAACCAGCTTCCGGCATCTGTGTAGAGACATAGGCTGCGCCGAAGGTTCACCACCCGAAGAAATCGAGTGGACTGGAACACGGATGCACACCAAGAAGGGTGCATCCGAGAAGAGAGATTAGTGTTGTTCAGGATGACAACACGTTGAAGCAAGACCGACTATCAGGGAGTCGGTCGTAGAGCAAGCCCGATCGACTGAAAGAAAGTCGATCGAAGAGGACGTGACTGTGGTAGTACCCCACAGTCAGTACACGTATTGGAAGAAAGTTCAAGCGTTCCTGAGAGTGATGACTCCCGAGAGAGTTGCGTTGAGGGTGTGGATCCCTAACCACCTGCGGATGTGTTCTCCCAGGAAATCACCGAGACAGTGAATGTCTTGGTGAATGACGGATCAAGTGTAGGCGCTTATAAACTTGATCTGGTTTCACCCCCCGAAGTCAGCTTCAAAGTTTGTCGAGTTGCCAATGCTAGAATCTAAAAGATTCTTGCGAGATCTGCGTAGTGACAAGATCAAGCAGATCTACGTGCTCTTCACAGAGGACAAGTACGTCGCCGATATTCGGTCGGCACAAGTGTTTGCTGAGAACAAACGGGTTCTCAGTAGTTCATCGATGGACGAGAGTTTCCTCGATGAGAAGACTCGGATTGAGCGATACACGTCTCAATGGGAGTATTTGAAGACAAATCCTTTGTGTAAGTATTTAGTTGAATTCCGGGGATGTTTTCCCTGAATCCGTGCCGTTCGATCTGCCTGAGGAAAAAAGGCACTTGGCATGAGATCGAACTGAAACCCGGTTCAAAAAACTGTGTCATGAAGCGGTGGCCACTGCCTCGTGAACAGGTCACAACGATCGACAAATTCTTTGTCGATCGCTTAGCGGCTGGTCATGTGAGGGAATCAACACCCCCACACAGCTCTCCGACCTTCTGTGTGCGAAAGGTCACAGGAGAGTGGCCGATAGTGCACGCGTTCAACAAATTGTGCGCTGCAACGGTACCGGCTCAAACGCCGATAACAAGGAAGGACGTCGTCATTGATGATATGGCAAAAAGTACCATCTTTCCATCCATGGATCTGATGGATGGATTCTATCAGTACCTCATGCGTGAACGGGACATCCCTTACACGGAAGTGAGCACCCCCAGTGGTATGCTCTGGTAGTGGCTAGTGATGCCACAGGGGCTAAGTAACGCCCCCGCAACGTTCAACAGATGTGTTACAAATCTGTTGCGATCGGTGCGCGACTTCGTACCGAGTTATTTTGACGATGTCTTCGTCCATAGCCGGGCTATGGATGGAAATACGGACGTGGAGGTTCATAGAATCCACGTCCGGAAGGTTCTTACACTAATGCGAGAGCATAAGATGATCGCGAATCTCAAGAAGTGTACATTAGCATCGAACGAAATACCACTTCTTGGCTGCATCGTGGGTAAAACGGTGTACGCACTGATCCGGAAAAGATAAAGGCGATTAGCGACTGGCCCGTGCCAGTCGACATTAAGGGAATTCGACAGATCCTTGGCTTGGCGGCGTACTTGCACAAGTACTCGCGCAACTACGCCGAGATGACCGTACACATCTCTCGTCTGCTAAAAAACGAGAGGTGGCGATGGAGTGCTGAGTGTCAGCACTATTTGAAGGTATCAAGAAAAGCTTGATACAATCGCCTGTGTTGGCGATTGCAGACTAGGACAGACCATTCCATGTGTTCTGTGACGCCAGCGATTTTGTAATCGGCTGCGCGTTAATGCAGTACGACTCAGACGGCGTTGAGCGCGTCGTCTGTAATCAATCGCGTCAGCTGCAAGCCGCTGAGCGCAATTACCTGGGCATGACAAGGAACTCCTTGCCATGAAATATGCACTGGCTAAGTTTCGGAAATATATCTTAGGAGATAGGCCCTTCATCGTTTATACCGACCATGCGACGTTACGCACGGCCGTAAACAGTCCACACCTCTTGCAATGAATGGCGAGGTGTCTGTCTTTCTTCGCGGAGTACAACTTCTCCGTCGAGTATGAACCAGGACGGCTTAATGTCGTCGCTGATGCTCTTTCGCGTTGGCCCGATTTCTAGCCGACTGCTCAACACACCAATAGGGGTGATCCCACTGTAGAGACACTAACAATGAGCGTTACGTCGTCGAATCTGCTCGACGACGTGCGTGAAGCTTACACAGAAGATGAGTCTCTTCTGCGATTTATGGATTACGTATCTAATCCTGCAGTCAAGCTTTGAAAAGCTTGTCGTCTCAATACCGCTCTTCAACCGAACGGTATTCGGTTCGTGATGGACTGCTGTACTATACAGCAGTCAACGGCGACACACCTCGTGTCTTCGTTCCGGCTCATAATGATTTGCGATTGCGCATCATGTATGAGTGTCGCGATGCCCCAACAAGTAAGCATTGCGGTAGGGAAAAGACTTAACTCATGGTGAGTCGTGACTTCTACTGACCCCGCCAGTATGAGTTTGTAAGTTTGTCAACGGGTGAAGCCTAGTCCTTCATCCCGCGCACCCTTGCAGCCTCTACCAATTCCGGCAGAGTGTTAGCAGTCCGTATCGATGGACTTCGTCTTCGTGTTTCCCAAAGACGTTCACAAGAATACTGATGCTCTAGTGTTTGCTGATCGGTTCAGCAAGATAATACATCTTGTTGCTGTACCGGAGTCAATCACATTTCAGGGCTGTGCTCGTGTCTTCATCGATAATATCTTACGACTTCACGGATTACCCCGTGAGCTCGTGCCTAATAGGTACCCCCGCTTTACAGTGGAGTTCTGGTAATCCGTGTTCCGTTCACTTGGAACACGTTTAAGATGTCGACTTCTGACCATCCAGAAACAGATGGTCAGGCGGAACGCGTCAACCGCGTCCTCGAAGAGATACTTCGAGGGTCTGTCCACTCGTTTACGAGTTGGAGTGAGTTTTTTTGCCAATGGCGGAATTCGCCACCAACAAATCGGTGCACGCGTCGACAACGCATACACCGTTCTTCGTGAATGGCCTACGCCATCCACGTTTACCCGCCTTCTTAGAGTGTGACTCTCGTTTAAGGGGGGAAGGACTCGCTCGAGCAAAAACCGATCTACTTCTTGCTCATCAGCTGTCGACAATGGTGTCGACGTGGTGGATGCCGATGTCGATGCGATCGGTACCGATGATGATGATGATGATAACGATGCTGGTATATTCAGCATCGCCAATGACTGCCACAGTTAGGACTATGACGCCCTCACTGGTGAAGACAAAGTTCTTTCAGCGGTGCACACGAAAGCACTGCTGTTGACAAGGATGAATCAGCAGAGAAATTTCTGCTGACTCGCGAAGCAGTTGTCCGCTTCGTTCAAGAATCGATTGCAGATGAACTAGACATACAGAAAAGAAACGCAGACAAACATGGAAGAGCAAATGCTCTTTCATTTGATGAAGGAGACCTAGTTCTACTGTCTACAGTAAACATACCGAAGCACGCAGTGACAAAAGTGGGCAGCAGTAAATTACTGCCCAAGTACATCGGTCCGTTTCGTGTGTTGCGCCGAATGGGCAACGAATTCACAATTGAACTGCCCCGTAAGATGCGTACGCATCCTACGTTTTACGTCGGTCGTCTCCACCCGTACTATCAGTATGAGCCCGTTTCGAGATGCGAAGAATACCTCCGCGGTCGAGAGCCGAGACCACCCTCGAAGGGTCCCGTTTCAACGAGCCAGTCTGGTCGACTAGCGAAGCGACCTGTTCAAGCAGCTCAGCGATGTCTCGACGAGCAGCAGTTAGCTCGTCACGCATAGAACGAGTCGAAAGTTCGTTCTCAAGTTGCGCGAACGCAAACGCGGCACGATCGTTCGGACGATCGTGCATTAGGGAATTTTAATTATCCCTCACAAGATCCTCAAGCCCATAACGCCGAGTCCGTTCGTGAGCCAGTTCATCTTGTAACTGATCGGTTACACGGTTCAGCCCCTGAACATCAAGCTGATCCGACCCTCGAGAAGGGATCAGAGGTTCCCGCCGCCACCACATCCTTTGGTGGACTCAGGAGGTGGTCAACGTTTCTGATGGAGCGTATTTTGAACCACCGCGACGTGAATGGCGTCCGGACGAGCTACCTCGTCCGCTGGCGTGGCTATCGACCGGCGTGGAACAGCTGGGAGTCTCGTGTCCAGCTGATTGTAGATGTCCTGGGTCTCGTCGAGCAGTATGCCGAGACCCACCCGCTGCGTTCGAAGAATGGCCGTCGGAAAACGACCTCCTCGAACGCGAGTACAGGGATTGCAAAGTTACAATCCCTTCGGCCATCTCAGAAGAGATGCGCGCCCTCCAGTAGGGATCACTAGGGAGGTAGGCCTCCCTATGGGCACGATTCGAGTTTTCCAGGCAACCTGGACACGAATCACCCCACGAGAGACAGGGTAATCATGCATCTCTTGACAGCCGGTGCACCTTGTATCGCACCCCGACTGGGTTGCGCTTCTCAAACCTGATGCGAGCTGTATCAATTTTACCGACCCAGGCCTCACGGCCAATGCACTCGATGCTATGGATTAAGGCATTCCATCCTTGCACTAAGGCCATTCCGTCTCGAACGCGGCTGCCATTGTACCACCGATGTTTGAAAAATGCATCGGTGAAGAATTCTTCCTCTGCACGGATAGTTTCCGTGCTGGAATTAGGTGGGCAAATCTTCCTACAATCGAACAACGGGATTCGATCCCGTTTGGTAGTCATGCCGGCCAACCGGTCCAACTCTCTGGATGACGGCATTCACGTAGACTCCACTTGAGGAGCGTGGCGCAGGACATTTCGGTCCCTGGTCTCTTGATTGGTGCCAGCATGAGCACTAACACCAGTGACAGCTCGATCCCTCGAGCTACTTCGCTCGTGGTGATGTATAGGTGCATCACCACCAACCCCACGCGTCCTATCGTCGGATGGACTCGCGTGAGGCGAGAATTCGTCGGAACAATCGCTCGATCCGGAGATCTCGAGCATGATGCCGCCACGTTGACCAGAGCCAGTCAACCTGGCTCTTGCAGTGTCCATCCCGGGTGATCCGGAGGCGTGAGGTGTCGCCTTCGAGTCGGATAAACCATCCAACTCGCCGGAATAGATGAGCACTATCTCAGACTCATCTTGATTACGACTCGTGGTACCCGCTTCAGACGCAACGGGTGTACTGGTCGCACGTGGTGACTCACCACGTGGACTGTTCACAACAACAGGCGACGAATCACCTGCTGCTGAGGTGTAAGAGGCACTTTCCGCGGCTGCACTCATGCGTGTAGCCGCCTCTCTTGATGCTGCAGTAGCAACTCGCTTGGTTTTCGAAACCATGCGTTGAATTGGCAAATGAATAGAATTTGACCAACAAGTGCTCCCTTTCCCAGAGTGATCCAACGGTGGTCACCCTGTCCCAATCAAGTCAATTCAACCAACGGGTGATTAATGGTGAAGGGAGGGGGTGATGTAAAGGTGTAGCCCGTTACATGATATTGGCACCAAACGGTGTCAAATAGGAATGTTGTCTAGCATGACAATATTCTACCAATATTATTCGAGATGGATAATATTGAAGGAATGTTATCCCTTTTTGGATACTTTTCTTGTGCTGCTCAAAGATTGGTATGATAAAGACATATCAACTATAGATTACCACCAATCGCTGCTAGACGCGCGCAATGAGTGGTAAGCAGGTTGTCGTCATACGACGACGGAGTTTAATATCGTTAGATGAAGATCAAAGTTATATTGATAGATTAACTGTAATCAAATACAGTTCTCTTTTTACCTTTACTCAACATAGTTGTTGAGTAAATTAGCTTCCTCTGCACGTACTAGTGTACGTGAAGTTTCGTGGCACCCAAACAAAGGGTGCCCCGTTTTAACTACCACAAAATACCAAGTACAGCATGTGTTTGCTTCCACATGCTCCATCATGACGCCAAGCCGCTCCATGCATAACCTTACGCGTTGTCAAATTCCTTTTTCTATACGACGATGCGTTGTCGGGATCAACTACAATTAGCAACACTTCTGCAATCATGAGGGTAGACGAGCTAACATGTTGTCACGAAAGTGTTTTTAGTCCAAAACTTCTGCGTGGATACTACCCTATAGCTGCAGAATCAAAAGTTGGCATCGGAGGGGTAATGTAACGGGGTGAATCGTTACATAACAATTTATAAGAAATTGTTAATAGAATATAACTATAAGAGTTATATTCTCAGAATATTGTCATAAGGACAATATTCTGTAGCACTTCCAAGTAGTTCCTAATTGGTTGATATAGGCCATTATATCAACCAACGAAGACGCGCCACGACAGACGCACGCAATGAGTGGTGAGCAGATAACTGATTTACACATTTGTATTTAGACATAGTTAGATGAAGATAAATAGTGATTTATTGCAGACATTAACTATTATAAATACAGTTCTACTTTTTACTTTAACCAAGTACTCGCTTCTTCTTACCGTCTTCCTCTGCACGTACGAGTGTACGTGAAGTTACGAGGCACCCCCCCTTATTCTGTCATCGGAATAAGTAGCTTGTACTGTCACCAGTACAAGCTTCAGGGTGCCCCGTTACAGGTAAGCCCATTAATCCCATCATACAACAACAAATTAGCACTGCAACATTGCCGTCCTTGAACAACAACAAATTAGCACCGCAACATTGCCAACCTGCTTCAGCTGCGTGGTGTGCAACAACAAGTGGCTCTTCTTTATGTTTCTATTTACCATCTTACTCCCATTGTCGACAGTCCGTCTACTCTGCACACACGTGCAGACAAACAAACGAGTCCATCCAGACAAGATGATAAGCTAGTTCGTTCTCCATAGTTTTTAACAGAACGCCTGAAAGCTTTCGCTCGTGCGATTAGCTACGAACCTGAGACCGTTCAGACACTCCAGAGGAGAGAGACTCTCGCACAGCAGCTGTTTCACTCGTGATTTGCTTGCACATGAACTTGCGCTTGTCTACCTGCTGAAACTCTTCACTTACCCTATCACGAGAGATATGTATATACACAAAAATGAATATTTGGTCAAATTCAAATTGCAGAAACCGACAACTAAAGCGGGGCATTCGTTACTTTCGATGTGGTACACACATCCACACCTTCAACATGACAGAGTTGAAGCTGTCGCATCCATTACCGTGTACACTAGTAGCGTCCAATCATCATTACCTACGAATACGACGCCATGCGTAAAGAGCCCGTTTTAAGGCATCGAGTCGTCTGGGCGCTTGATAATTACCGTCTTGTGCTCCAAGTAGTTGCGCAGACCCAGCTCGCCATTTTCGCGGCCGATACCAGAGTCTTTGAACCCGCCAAACGGTGTATTCGCGTCGAATACGTCGTAGCAATTCACATAAACCGTACCGGCACGCAGTCCATTCGAGATCTTAATGGCATTGTCCAGATTCGTCGTCACGACACCTGCGCCGAGGCCGTACATCGAGTCGTTGGCACGCTTGATGACTTCGTCAATGGTCTTGAAGTTGAGGATCGGCATGACTGGTCCAAAGATCTCCTCGCGAGCAATGACCATATCGTCCGTCACATCTGAGAACACAGTAGGCTGGATGAACCATCCCTTGTCACCGTGTCGCTTGCCACCAGTCAGCAAACGAGCACCTTCCTCCACACCTTTGTCAATATAGCCCAGAATTGTTTCAAACTGAGTCTTATCGATCTGCGCTCCTTGCTGTGTACTAGAGCTGAACGGGTCGCCCACTACACGCGCTTTTGCAGCCTCCACCGAGCGGCGAACAAACTCGTCGTAGATGCCGTCCTGCACGTACACGCGCGTGCCGGCAATGCAGCACTGGCCCTGGTTCAAGAACAGACCAAGCTGCGACTGCTGAATCGCAAGATCAATGTCCGCATCATCCAGAATAATGTTGGCCGACTTGCCGCCAAGTTCAAGCGTGATGCGCTTGAGATTGTCCACGTGGGACGTCTGCATGATCTGGTAGCCAACCTCAGTGGAGCCTGTGAAGGCGACCTTGTCAACGTTCGGGTGCTGCGCGAGGTAGCGTCCCGAGTCGCCTGCACCCGGTACAATGTTAACCACGCCCTTGGGAAAGCCAGCTTCTACAATGAGCTCTCCGACACGCAGAGCCGAAAGCGGCGTTTGTTCTGCGGGTTTCAACACAATCGTGTTGCCAGCCGCAAGAGCGGGACCGAGTTTCCACGACATCATCAAGAGTGGAAAGTTCCACGGAACGATCTGCGCGCAGACCCCAACAGGCTCGGGCTTGTTGTAGCACAAGTACGGACCCGTGATAGGGATCACTGAGCCGTGAATCTTGTCGGGCCAGCCAGCATAGTAGCGGTACGTCTTGAGCACGAGGCCAAGGTCGGCCCCCTTTGCTTCCGCACACGGCTTGCCATTGTTGAGTGCCTCGAGAGCAGCTAATTCGTCAATATTTGCTTCAATGAGGTCTGCGAGCTTGTTGAGGAGACGCCCGCGCTCGGAAGCGGGTAACGTGCGCCATGGACCTTCAAAGGCTGCGCGGGCAGCATCCACAGCAGCATCAATGTCAGCCTCACCGGCTTCAGCCACGTCTGCGATCTTCTCTTCTGTAGCAGGATTGAACGTCTCGAAGGTCTTGCCCGAGACGGACGGCACGAATACGCCGTTGATGAGCAGGTTGGTCTGCTTTACAGCGACATGGCTGGAAAAGAAGCGGGATGCAGTCTGTTTGGTGTGGATGCGGAGTGCGTGGGGAAAGGTCTGGCGCCACATGGTGAGGTACATCTTTCTGGGTCTTCTGGTGACTGAAATGAGAAATACAGAATGAGCAGGATCTCTGACCTCCGCGCCTCTTTGGAATCTCTTTCCAACCTGACTCTTTGTGCTGTGCGTTACAGCAGATGCTATTCGTTTCGAACAATAAGGAGGGAGTGCAGGGGATGAAGATGCTGTCGACACAGCGACTGTTGTCGGACTTGGAAAGTACTGTTTAGTCTCAGTCGCGGTCGTATCTTAGTAGGAACTTCCAACGTGCTGTCACTTGTTGTGCCAGCTCGAACTCGGCCCCGACAGCTGCCGCCTCAGGTAACAAGCCCAGTACAATTACCGAACTTGCACAAGAATTCGGCGTTTCGACGTGGGCTTAAGATCCAACACACATCTTGATGCTGTTAGAGATTGAAAAGACAAGCAGCATGTCTCCCTAAAAATCTGTTGACCCAGTTTTCACGAGGGAGGCGGTGAAAGCTATAGCAAGAGCTCGATCCCGGAGTAGTCCAGCTAGTAAACGGCTTCCTGAAGAAAAATGTACAACGCTGAGGCCAATTTTATTGCGAACGAAATTGATAGAGCTAGGAATAACAACGTGAAATGCCCTATCTTGGCAAATGGCGTGACATCCTACTAAGGTATCGAGTGTACGGTGGCATGCGCAGCTTGTCCACCGGCAAATGTGTTTCACTACATGGTCTGCTCATAGCTCCTGTTGTAAGTCATACTACTTTCACTTCGTCACCAACCGGACTTGGTCGAAGCGTGCATAACATTCCACGGCAGTCAACATCATCACTGCAAGCCTGTGAAAGTGCAACAGCTGGAAGACTGTTTTGTATGCTTCGCCACGTGCCTTCCACCTTTGTGCAGTATATAGGCATTGCACCAGTCTCTTGTCGTGGGTGCTTTTTTAGCTAGAATTGTACGTGCACACAAACGAAGCTATTTACAGTCCCCGCCCTCATCTGCCCGCCCTACGTGTCCATTGTTCCTAGGGGGGACACAAAATTACTAAAATTATAAATGCGTCGCCTGTGTCATTAGTGGCCCTAGTCGCCATGCACTATTTTACCATGCATTCGCCATCTTTTGCGCCTCCTTTGCCGCTTTTGCCGCCCCCGCTAGTTCTGAAAGTACGATGTCGCTTGCCAGCGTACCTGATCCTCCCATTCGCATGACGAAATCAATAACCATAATTTCTTCTGCAATTGACGAGACTCGTCTTTGCTCGTATATTTTCCGCTGGGCGTCAATTCCAAAAATGATAGTCTCGCCTAGGCACCAGTTTGCTCTCGTCCACAAAGACGATACGTAAGACACCAAGTTGGAAATTCAGGAATGGGCCCATCGCTCGCCGAAACAAAAAAATACACCCAATGATCCACTGGAGAGCTGCGTAAGCGAGGAACAAGGCGAGGATATGAATGTAAGTTGCCAAGCAAGTACGTGACCAAATATCTAGAATTTCAGTGTCCATTGGTTCCGGGAGGTCCATCTACCGACCAGGCGTTTATTTTGACTCACACTTCTGTAACGTGGGACTCTTGGACGCATCTAGTGGCGTTTCCGTGAAGAAATAGCTGCGACTTTTGTTTGTCTACCACGCTCGATCGGAAGCACTGCTCCATGTTTTTTACGCAAACTAGACTCATCGCTATGGTCGTCCCGGTAAAACTGTACGATTTAGTTTTCACGCGCTATTCATGGGTTCAACCAAAAAAGGAACATCAAAAGCGTGTCTTTGAGAGAATATAAAAAGCGACCTATTTGTTCGTACGGCTCATAGCGTAATAAAGTGCCTCCATTACATGATACTTTTTGTGATGAAGTGGATCAAAGAAATATGTAGTGATCGCGGGGTTGAGAAAGCTTGAACCGCGACAGATCGTGAAAAGAGATTGATGGCTGTTTAGCTTCGCAATATTATATTTAAATTTACAAAACCAAGATCAATTGTCAAGATACTAAGATAGATTGTTAGAATGCCGGGATCTATTACCCAGATACCAGGATCGAGAATATACTGGGTGATCAAGGTTGAGAATATAATCGGAGATTGAGGGTGACCGTGAAGCGATCAAGGCGATGGACGATCAGGGATATTGATGTTCAGGGAGATCGACGTTCGATCAGGAGCGGACCGCGTGTGAGAAGGAACAAATAAAGTAATGCAGAAGACAAGTGGCAGCATAACCTAGGGAGCAGACAGGCACAATGATAGTTTTAGCATTTGGTTGGCTAACAATAAACAGAGATCAATTTTCTTCAACGGGCACGGATCGCCACTTCCAAGAAGGATTATTCGGCCTCCTGACGTCTACAAAAAAGGTTCGGCCTTTGTTTTAAGAACGTAACTTCTACCTTATCTGTCCAGGAGTGCAATAACTCTCACCCTCCAACTGCGACTGGACGCAGAAAGAACCTAAAGGAAAAATCACAAGATAGCAAGACGAGTCAAATGTTCAGTAGGCTCGCGCATAAAGCACCACATATTGGACAAGACGAACTCAAGGGAGATCCGGGAAACTCAAATAGAGTCCCCAAGTAAACCTCGATCGCGTGAATTTTTCCGCGCGATCGATCCTAATCTCAGACACAGTCAAGTTCAGCATCAAACTAAGTCCATCGAGAAGAGTGTACCCCGACCACCCAACGGGTGCAAAAGTTGAGAAAGGAATACATTTTCACAGAATCGGAGTCCCCTCTCCGTTAGTTAATCGTCTGGGCCCCAGTGGAGAGTTGGGATCGCGTCAGCAATTTTACGAAATCCCACTCCACCACATTTTACGTTAAATGAATATCAAGTATGTAAAATATGGAAAGACAGACATTTATTTTCACAAAATTGGTTTTCTAATAACATGGTGTTGCACAAGTAATGCATTGCTAATTGTATGATAGTGATCAACAATATCAACCAACAAAGCCGAGCCAAGACAGAAGAACGCAATGGGTGGTGAGCAGATGGTTGTATTACATCTTTGTATTTAAAGACAGTAAAATGAAGACCAAACAGAAATTATCAACAGGAGATTGAAAAGACAAAATACAGTTCTACTTTTCACCCTTTTCTCGCTTTGAAACCTTCCTCTGGATGAAGTGTGAACGTGAAGTCCCGTGGCACCACGTTTGTAGCGGGGCACCCTTTGTTTGGGGTGCCGCGAAACTTCACGTACACTAGTACGTGCAGAGGAAGCTAACTACTTATACAGCTAGTTTGAGAAAAGGGTAAAAAGAGAACTGTATCAAATATATTTAAGCTATCAATATAACTTTAATCTTTATCCAACTATATTAAACTACGCCGTCGTCTGACGACAACCTGCTCGCCACTCATTGCGCGCGTCTAGCAGCGATTAATGGTAATCCATGGTTGATGTGTCTTGTATCAACCAATTTTGGAGCAGCATATGAATATTATTCTAAAAGGGGATAATTTTCCCATAACATTATCCATCCCGGATAATGTTGGCAGAATATTGTCAGGCTAGACAATATCCCAATTGACACCGTTTGGTGTCAATTTCATGTAACGGGCCACCCCGGTACATCACCCCCTCCCTTCACCATTAATCACCCGTTGGTTGAATTGACTTGATTGGGACAGGGTGACCACCGTTGGATCACTCTGGTAAAGGGAGCAATTTTTGGTCAAATTCCATTCATTTGCCAATCCAACACATGGTTTTGAAAACCGGGCGAGTTGCTACTGCAGCATCAAGAGATGCGGCTACACGCATGCGTGCAGTCGCGGAAAGTGCCTCTCACACCCCATCAGCAGGTAATTCGTCACCTGTAGTTGTGAATCGTCCACGTGGTGAGTCACCACGTGCGACAGGTACATCCGTTGCGTCTGCAGCGGGTATCACGAGTCGTAATCCAGATGAGTCTGAGATAGAGCTCATCTATTCTGGCGAGTCGGATGATGCATCCGACTCGAAGGCGACACCTCACGCCTCCGGATCACCCGGGATGGACACTGCAAGAGCCATGTTGAGTGGCTCTGGTCAACGCGGCGGTATCGTGTCCGAGATCTTCGGATCGAGAATTTGTTCCGACGAATCTCCGCCTCACGCAAGTCCATCCAACGATAGGACGCGTGGGGATGGTGGTGATGCACCTATACATCACCACGAGCGAAGTAGATTAAGGGATGGAGCTGCCACTAGTGTCAGAGCTCATGCTGACACCAATTAAGAGGCCAGAAACCGAAATTAGTGCTCATGCTGACACTAATCAAGACCGAAATATCCTGCGCCACACATCTCAAGTAAAGTCTCCATGGATGCCGTCATCCAGAGAGTTGGACTTGTTGGCCGTCATGACTACCGAACGGGATCAAATACCGTTGTTCGATTGCAGCCTGATTCCAGCACGGGAACAATCCGTGCTGAGGAAGAATTCTTTACCGATGCGTTCTTCAAACATCGGTGGTACAATGGCAGCCGTGTGCGAGATGCCAAAGCTTTGGTGCAGGGATGGAATGCCCTCTTCCACAACATCGAGTGTATTGGCCGTGAGGCCTGGCTCGCCAAGCTTGATGCAGCTCGCATCAGGTTTGAGAAACGCAACCCCGTCGGGGCTCGATCTAAGTTGCACCGGCTTTCAAGAGAGGCAGGATTATCCTGTCTCTCGCTGGGCGATCCATGTCTTGGGTGCCTGGACAACTCGAACTGTGCCCATAGGGAGGCCTTCCTCCCTAATGATCCCTACTGGAGGGCGCGCATCTCTTTCGAGATGGCCGAAGGTATGACACCTTGCAATCCCTGCACTCGCGTTCGAGGAGGTCGTTTTCCGACGTCCCTTCTTCGAACGCAGCGGGTGGGTCTTGTCACATTGCTCGACGAGACTAAGGACATCAACAATCAGCTGGGCACGATGCTCTTATCTGTCCCACGCCGGTCGATAGCCACGCCAGCGGACGAGGTAACTCGTCCGGACTCCATTCACATCGCGGTGGTTCAAAATACGCTTTAATAATGAGCGTTGACCACTGCATGAGTCCACCAAAGGATGTGGTGGCGGTGGGAACACCTGATCCGGCTCGAGGGTCGGATCAAGTTGATGTTCAAGAGCTGATCCGTGTAACGGAAAGGTTGCAAGGTGACCTGGCTCATGAACGATCTCAGCGTTATGGGCTCGAGGATCTTGTGAGGGGTAATCATAGTTCCCTAATGCACGATCGTTCGGACGATCGTGCCGCTTTTGCGATCGCGCAACTTAAGAACGAACGTCTGACTCGTTATCTTCGTGATGAGCTGGCTGCTGCTCGTCTAGACATCGCTGAGTTGCGTGAACAGGTCGCTTCGCTAGTCGACTAGACTGTCTCGTTGAAATGGTACCATTCGAGGGTGGTTTGGGCTCTTGACCATGGAGGTTTTCTTTGCATCTCGAAACTGGCTCGTACTGATAGTACGGGCGGAGACGACCACCGTAAAACGTAGGATGCGTGCGCATTTTACGGGGTAGTTCAATCGTGTATGCGTTGCCCATTCGGCGCAACACACGAAATGGACCGATGTACTTGGGCAGCAATTTACTGCTGCCCACGTTTGTCACTGCGTGTTTCGGTAAGTTTACTGTAGACAGTAAAACTAGGTCTCCTTCATCAAATGAAAGAACATTTGATCTTCCATGTTTGTCTGCATTTCTCTTCTGTCTGTTTAGTGCATCTGCAATCGAATCTTGAACGAAGCGGGCAGCCGCTTCGCGAGTCAGCAGAAATTCCTCTGCTGATCCATCCCTGTTAACAGCAGTGCGCTTTGTGTGCACTGCTTAAAGAACTTTGTCTTCACCAGTGAGGGTGTCATCATCCTTACTGTTGCGGTCATTGGCGATGATGAATATACCAGCATCATCGTCATCATCGTCATCGACATCGATCGCATTGACACCGGCATCCCTTACGTTGACACCATTGTCGACGGGTGATGAGCAAGAACCAGATCGGTTTTGTTCGAGCGAGTCCTTCCCCCCTTAAACGAGAGTCACACTCTAAGAAGGCGGGTAAACGTGGATGGCGTAGGCCATTCACGAAGAATGGTGTATGCAATGTTGACGCATGCACCGAGTTGTTGATGGCTAATTCCGCCATCAACAAGAACTCACTCCAACTCGTAAACGAGTGGACATACCCTCGAAGTATCTCTTCGAGGACGCGGTTGACGCGTTCCGTCTGACCATCTGTTTTAAGATGTTCAGAAGTCGACATCGTCAAACGTGTTCCTAGTGAACGGAACACGGATTGCCAGAACTCCGCTATGAAGTGTGGGTTCCTATCAGACACGAGTTCACGGGTTAACCCATGAAGTCGGAAGATAGTATCGATGAAGACACGAGCACAGCCCTGGGATGTGATTGACTCCAGTACAGCAACAAGATGTGTTTTTTATCTTGCTGAACCGATCAGCAAACACTAGAGCATCAGTATTCTTGTAAACGTCCTTGGGAAACCCGACGATGAAGTCCATCGATACGGACTGCCAACACTCTTCCAGAATCGGTAGAGGCTGCAAGGGTGCGCGGGATGAAGGACTAGGATTCACTCGTTGACAAACTTCGCAAGCGCGAATGCATTTGCGCACAAACTCATACTGGCGGGGCCAGTAGAAGTCACGACGCACCATGAGGTAAGTCTTTTCTCTACCACGATGTCCACTTGTTGGGGCATCGTGACACTCATACATGATTAGCAATCGCAAATCATTATGAGCCGGAACGACGACACGAGGTGTGTCGCCGTTGACTGCTGTATAGTACAGCAGTCCATCACGGACAGAATACCGTTTGGTTGAAGAGCGGTATTGAGACGACAAGCTTTTCAAAGCTTGACTGCACGGATTAGACGCTTGATCCATCAACCGCAGAAGAGACTCATCTTCTGTGTAAGCTTCACGCACGCCATCGAGCAGATTCGACGACGGAACACGCACTGTTAGTGTTGCGACAGTGGGGTCACCCCTACTGTTGGGTTGAGCAGTCGGCTCGAAATCGAGCCGACGCGAAAGAGAATCAGCGACGACATTAAGTCGCCATGGTTTATACTCGACGGAGAATTTGTACTCCGCGAAGAAAGACAGACACCTCGCCATTCATTGCGAGCGTTGTGGACTGTTTACGGCCGTGCGTAACGACGCATGGTCGGTATGAACGATGAAGGGCCTATCTCCTAAGATATATTTCCGAAACTTAGCCAGTGCATATTTCATGGCAAGGAGTTCCTTGTCATGCCCAGGTAATTGCGCTCAGCGGCTTGCAGCTGACGCGATTGATTACAGACGACGCGCTCAACGCCGTCTGAGTCGTACTGCATTAACGCGCAGCCGATTGCGAAATCGCTGGCGTCACATACCACATGAAATGGTCTGTTCTGGTCTGCAATCTCCAACACAGGCGATTGTATCAAGCTTTTCTTGATGCTTTAAAAGAGTGCTAACACTCAGCGCTCCATGACCACCTCTCGTTTTTCTTTAATAAACGAGAGAGATGTACATTCATCTCGGCATAGTTGCGCGAGTATTTGTGCAAATACGCTGCCAAGCCAAGGAACTTTCGAAGTCCTTTGACGTCGACTGGCACAGGCCAGTCGCTAATCGCCTTGATCTTTTCCGGATCAGGGCGTATACCGTTTTTACCCACAATGCAGCCAAGAAGTGGTATTTCGTTCGCTGCGAATATACACTTCTTGCGATACGCGAAAAACTTATGCGCTCGCATTAGTGTAAGAACCTTCCAGACGTGGATTCTATGAACCTCCACGACCGTCTTTCCATCCATAGCCCGGCTATGGACGAAGACGTCGTCGAAACAACTCGGTGCGAAATCGCGCACCGATTGCAACAGATTCATAGCACATCTTTTGAGCGTTGCAGGGGCGTTGCTTAGCCCCTGTGGCATCACTAGCCACTCCCAGAGCATACTACTGGGGGTGCTCAGTGCTGTGTACGGGGTGTCCCGTTCACGCATGAGGATCTGATAGAATCCATCCATCAGATCCATGGACGAAAAGATAGAACATTTTACCATACCATCTATGCTGACGCCTTCCTTGGGATCGGCGTTGAGGCCGGTACCGTTGCAGGGTTCAATTTGTTGAACACGTGCGCTATCCACCACCCTCCTGTGGCCTTTCGCACACAGAAGGTCGAAGAGCTGTGTGAGGACGTTGATTCCCTCATATGACAAGCCGCTAACGATCAGCAAATAATTTGTCGATCGCTGTGACCTGTTCATGAGGCAATGGCCACTGCTTCATGACACAGTATTTTGAACCAGGTTTCACTTTCGATCTCATGCCAAGCGCCTTTGTCCTTATCCAGCTCGCATGGCACGGATTCAGGGAAAACATCCCCGGAATTCAACTAAATACTTACACAAAGAATTTGTCTTCAAAGACTCCCAAGATTGAGACGTGTATCTCTCAATCCGAGTCTTCTCATCGAGGAAACTCTCATCTATCGATGAGCTACTGAGAGCCCGTTCGTTCTCAGCAAACACTTGTGCCGACCGAATATCGGCGACGTACTCGTCCTCTGTGACGAGTACGCAGATCTGCTTGATCTTGTCACTACGCAGATCTCGCACGAATCTTTTAGATTCTAGCGTTGGCAACTTGACCACATCCAAAGCTGACTTCGGGGGCGTCACCAGATCAAGTGTTTAAGCGCCTACACTTGATCCGTTATTCACCAAGACATCAACTGACTCGGTGCTTTTCTGGGAAAACACGTCCGCAGGTGGTTGGGGATCCACACCCTCAACATAACTCTCTCGGGAGTTATTGCTCTCAGGAATGCTGAACTTTCTTCCAATGCGTGTACTGGCTGTGGGTGTACTACCACAGTCACGTCCTCTTCAATCGACTCTCTTTCAGTCGATGGGGCTTGCTCTACGACCGACTCCCTGATAGTCGGTCTTGCTTCAACGTGTTGTCATCCTGAACAACACTAATCTCTCTTCTCGGATGCACCCTTCTTGGTGTGCACCCGTTTTCCAGTCTACTAGATCTCTTCGAGTGGTGAACCTTCGACGCAGCCTGTGTCTTTACACCGATGCCGGAAGCTGGTTCCACAGTGCAGTGGCCTTCTACACTGTGATCTTGTGCATTCATACTTACCGCCGCACCACAAGTGAGGCCATCGTACTCACTCGTAGTTCATCCACACGCTTGTGGACGCTCCAAGACGTTCATCAGATGGCCATCCGATGAACAAACGGCAGGCATCTTCACGGATTGATGCTGCCAGCTAATCCATGGCTGGTATTTCTAAGCCATGGCAGACCGAGGATGACATCAAATTTGTCATCTAAATCCAGTACAATAAAGTCGCCATCGTATTTTTTTCCTTCTAGCGTGTAGTGGATTCCCACTACACGTTTGTTCACTGTTACGGATGCGCATGTAGCAATGCACACCGTCAACCTCGTTGGAGGGAACCCTCGCTCAACATAGTTGAGCCTACTATCCCTTAGCGACTGGCGTCGAATAAAACTGTTCGACGCCCCACAGTCAACCAGGGCGCGAAGTGACATTCCACTTGTCACTTCGATCTTTAAAGTGATGAGGGACACCTCATCACTAGGGGCAGTAACACATAGCGACTGTGTGTTGGGAGCAATCTTCGTCAAGCGTCCTGCAAACTCTCTTGACGTTGCTGGATCAGCAGGGTGCTCCGCCCCTACTGACCCTGACCGTGTTTTTGACGGTCCGACTTGCTGTTGCGGCTTGGCGACATGGTCGGACCCACGCCTCGCACCTTTTCTTGGCCAACGGCGGTCATCACGTCCTGTCTTTGGACGTGTTGCAGTGCTCAATCTTCTAACAGCGGTGGCATCTTAATGTAAGCTTGTGAATCAGAGAGCGAGAGTTCTCGCTCTCGATGTAACAGAGGACCATTGGTTCGAGACCTTCTGTTTCCTGTTGTCTCATCGGACGATAGTTTGACGAGTTAGCCTGAGACTGTCTCAGGCTGAAGTCTTCTTGTTCCGCGTACGCTATCGCCTTTTTCAACGTATGGAATTCCTCTTAGAACATGTAGGTCTTCACCGGCCCATCTACAAGGCCGCAAATGAACACGTTGATGAGCGTGTGCTCATCAACAGGCTTCTCCGTAACGCTACTCGCAAGGTAGCGCAGGTGTTGTGCGTAAGCGTGCACATCACGCTTACCTTGCTTTAGCCTCAAGAGTGCAGAGCATGCTCTCAACTTGGCTCTCGGCGGCTTAAACGTGTCTTTGAGCCGAGACTTCAAGATCTCCAACGACTCAAACACGTTTGGATCGTGAAGCTTGAGCCTTAAGGCCCAAGTCTTTGCTCGTCCTGTTAAATTAGACAGGGCGAAGGTGACTTGCATCTCGTCACCCTCGATGTAACAGGCCCTGACAGCATCGTCTAACTCGACGAACCATCTCAAAAGGGAAGCTTCATCGGTTCCCTTATACCTTGAGATATCAATTGTCAAGGTTTCGGGTCGACGCATGTGCGTCGGTCCGTTCATTGACTGATGAGAGCCTTGCTGCTGTAGCAAGGCTATCTTCTGTCTTTCGACGGTAAGTCCACCCTGTAGGAACTTGTCGGTAGCAGCATGTTGCTAGTCTCTGTTTAGACTCCAATATGCCACTAATGGCGAATGCGCCCATGATCACACTCATGCGGCCAACTATCCTCCATTCTGAGTCACTCAGATGGGAGTAGCCTTCACGTGTGACGTGAAAACTGTCGTCTTCTACGTCCAACATGTTCATGTTGGACGGACACTAAGTAGTCGTTGGACGAACTACGAAGTGTTAACAGGTGTAACGGGGTACCCTTTGTTTGGGGTGCCACGAAACGTCACGTACACTAGTACGTGCAGAGGAAGATAATCCACTTGAACAACTCGGTCAAGTAAGGGTAAAAAGAGAACTGTATTTAACATAGTTAAGCTATCGATATAACTTTAATCTTCATCTAACTATATTAAACTACGCCGACGTCTGACGACAACCTGCTCACCACTCATTGAGCGCGTCTTGCAGCGATTGGTGGTAATCCATGGTTGATGTGTCTTATATCAACCAATTTTGGAGCAGCATATGAATATTATCCTAAAAGGGGATAATATTCCTTCAATATTATCCACCTCGGATAATATTGGTAGAATATTGTCATACTAGACAATATTCCAATTGACACCGTTTAGTGTCAATTTCACGTAACGGGCTACCCTGTTACAACGTTTCTATGTACACAGTGCATGTCGCTTGTACTGTGACAGTACATGCGATGGGTACCCCGACACATAGTATAAACTGCTCCGCAACGAACGGACGCAGCAGAACGACCGATCGAGGAACCATCGACACAGCATTTTTTGTTCGTTTTATGTCCATCAATGTACTGATCGAGCTTCTCCATGCACGTATCGAGCCGTGCGCTAGGCAATCAGCGTCGAAGAGTACATTTTAAAGTGCCACTCCATAATGCTGTATTTCGCAGTTTTTTTCGGTTGGAGCTTGTCGATACGAAATAGCAGGTTATAAATAAAGTCTTTCTTCGTTCGGGTTGACGTGGACGCTACGAAGGACCTATACAAAGATCTAAAGAGTTCTTTTGTATTTTGCTTACGTTACTAACGTAAAGCGGTGAAAATAAGGGCGGGGAAGGTATGACCTTTCACAAAATCGATCGGGTTTGGAAAAGAAATAAAAGAGCAAATTTGGTCCATTGATTAGCACATGATGTAGGGGTAATCCAGAGATTGCATTTTTAGTTAATTGTTACATTACAGTCGTTTGAAGGAGCTAACAACCCGATAAAATCCTTTCGGCAGGGCCCTACACATCCCCCACCGGACGTCCACTTGTTACTGGGTACGCTGAAGAACAGCCAGTCCAGCAACCCTAAAAATTCAATATTGGGGATTAAAAATATTGACAGGATCCGAGCTCAGTTTTACCGGGGTTCTTGGGTATCACTTCTGAACCTCAAGTATCAAAAAATTAACGATCTTGTGTTGGCTCTACGGGATTTTACCGACAATAAAGGCATTTGAATCGAATGCTTATTTAAGCTCCAGGAGGGAACCCCTCACTTTTAATATATTACTTTAATTCAATTAGAGAACTGATGAAAGTCTTGCATCAACCCATTTTCAATTGTAATGGAAATGATTATTCTTTGTAGTGTGTATTCCAAGTTTTTGTCTGGGAGCACATATTGATGTGTGCTTAGATTCTCGAACAGAGGATAATTAAAATAAATGTGAAGGCTGACCGTTCATGCGCAACAAGCACAAAAGGCGACCGATGACGTGGAATGTAGTGGAGGTGCACTTACTTCTTTGTCAGAGGAAGACTTCTAGACTCGTAGAGTCATTTAGCATTACTAAACTAAACGGGTAATGACTTGGAGGGTCTTAAGTTTTACAGGCTTAGTGATGCCTAACCCTAAGTGTATGTACAAGCTATAAAGCTTCTAGTCCTGGCTCAGAAAACTGATAAATTCAAGGATCACGTGGTACTAATGCCTAATAGTACCTAGACTTTAAACAGGCTCTCAACTATTACGACCAGAGACGTCCTAGAAAGACATGTGTCTGAAATGGACCAAAAGGTAACTGAATGTGTTAACTGATTTACAGCGATAATAAAACTTCCCAGCGTATTTGACCTTAAAACTATGCTACCTAATCGAATAGTCCCCATTAAGGTTCTTCTGGTGTTACCACACCAGAACTATGCCTCTATCAAAACCTATTACGATAGATATCCCCAAGACATTCCCGATAGGATACGAATTTATCGGTTAGCGTATGTGATACAAAAGTACGCCCTATCCCTGATACTGATTTCCTTCTGTGTGTACCACATCATTGTACCTGGTGATCGCAAACCTTTTGTAATCCCGTTACATGCTCTTTGCCACTGCGTAAGTCGACCAAGTGAACACAAAAGCGCGAGTGCAGCAGCGACCGTGCGGCTTCCTTGTCGACCAGAATAATGGTTCTTGCTCAACGTTTCGCGTCGACTACAGTCCTAGCCTAAAGAGTGCCGTACTTTACCTTGTCATCCTTCCAAGGGTTTGCACCATCCACACGCGCTGGACTTCCCGCCAGATCCATGTACTTTGTGCACCGCTACACGCTAGCAGTGAAGCCGCCAGCCGCTGAAGATACTACCAAACGTGGCGGCAAGCGAGCAGTTTTCAGGGAGTCGGAACATTTGCAGCTCTGCCAAGTGCGCGCCGCTAACTTCGTACGTCGTCCCTAGATACTAATGAACTTTGAACTAAAGTCATTTCCTTTGACATAACTGCCTCATACACTGGTTAATGATGGATGGATCCTACTCCACGACCAAGCTACGACTAAGCGAAGAACAATCGGATGGATGGATTGATGGATGGTTGATGGATAGATGGAATTAGATGAAGCATTCAGGTAGGCACGGTAGGCTAACATGGTATTCAATACATTCTCAATTTTACCTTTGACTCCGCAAGACCCTCTCAAGCAAGGCTCGCGGACCGATCACCCCTCTGCAAGCCACGGGTGTGTCATTTTGATATATCAAATCTGTGCAAGATCGGAGAAGGAAACAAGGTGTCAACAGCATGGGACGCCAAGATGAAGACGAGTACGTCACCTACACCATGGTGATAACACCCGCAAGTGACGGCTTCCCCGCAGATACGGCAACGATCAAGATCAAGAAGTTCGCAGGAGGATCCCCACGTGAGTGGCTTCGCTGGAGCAACCAATTTCGTCGCCTCGCCCGAAAGAAGCAGTGGATTGATGAGCAGAAGGCACACAACATGGTCGCGCTTATTGACGGCGACCTCGCAACGGAAGTCGAAGTGATAGCTCAAGACGCAGTTGAGCACGGAAAGACTTTTGAACAGTTCTTTACGGATGTGGGATTACTATCTGTCCCGCACGACTACAGTGAAGACTTGGACAACGAACTGTGGACAATGGTGAAACGACGAGATGAGACTGTGTTTAAATTCTCGCAGCGACTCAGAGAAAACATTCGGTTGTTTGCTGAGCTGCCACAGAATGCTGAAGAAATTCCGGAGGTTCAGCAATGTCGCTACTTCAAGCGCGGAATGCCCCGAGCATGGCAAGAGAAGTTGTCTGCAGCAGGCGTCGTATTCGACCACCTCAATGAACTTGTCCTTTATTTCACACGGATCGAGAAAGACGAGCGACAGCCGATCACCCGTGACAAGAAACCAAACACTAAAGAATACAGCAACACGCAGAGAAAGAATCAGCGCAGAGTACACGGGCAACGGGAAGGACAGAAGAACCGGCGAGAAGAGCCTGAGGAAAAGGCACGCAGTCAAAGAGACAAATATCACAAACACGACACTTGGTGTTCGTTCCACAAGACAGCTTCGCACAATACGAGTGACTGTTATACTTTGAAGAAAAAGCAATCGGAGGAGAACAAGAAAAACGAAGCACGGTCGCACAAACATCGCACACCGAACCCAAAGTACCCCCGAATCTCAAGAAGAGTTAATCTTGACAACGAATCGGAGTCAGAGTCGGATGCGGCAGGGGAAGAACAAGAGCTCAAGTTCATTGGTTTAGTGGAAAAGGACAGAACAGTCTCCAGTGCGCCATTACGCATCATGGTCAAGCTGCATCGCAATCAAGATGCTATCGAAGCCCTGCTCGACAGTGGAGCATCGAAGAGTATTGTCAATGGTGCGACACTTGCTGGTATTGTGAAGCTGGGTCGACAGAATGTTACGACATCCTCCACTATCTTTGACACTATGCGCGGCGCAGTACCAAGCAATGGAACGGTGGTGACACAGTTCTTCTTCCCACAACTAAAGCCAGAGACAATCATCACGCACCAATTCGAAGTGATCAAGTCGAGCAGCGATAACATGGTTATTGGAAGAGATGTCATGAACGCACTAGGCCTGGTTTTGAACTTTAAAGACAGGCTGGTGCAATGGGACGACTGTTTGCTTCGGCTTAACACAGGGCAAGAGAAAGCGAAACGACCCAAGGTGGACAACGAAGACCTCGAGTTTCAAGACGAAATGAAGGAAACACCCACAACTGGAGTCCAGCCAGAGACTTTCCTGCCTCATCATCTTGACCCTAACATGAAGACTAAATGCTTGGCATTACTAGTCGAGTACAAAAGGCTTTACGACGGACATCTCGGAAGAATGCGCTTTCCCGACTACGAGCTGCCTATCCAACCGGATTACAAGCCTGTTCATGCGAAGGCCTACCCCATCGCGCGCATCCAGGAAAACAAAGCCAAGGAGACCATTCAGCGGCTTATCAGTGCTGACGTTCTAGAGCAAATTTATGACGTGAAGATGGCATCACCCGCATTTTTCGTCTCCAAGCCAGATGGATCACTGCGTCTGCTAAACGACTATCGTGGGCTTAACAAGTATCTACGAAGGAGTCCATACTACGTCCCGCGCATTAGAGAAATCCTTATGCGCTTGTTCAACGCAAGGTGTCTTTCAACGTTCGACGCAAACCATGGATACTATGCCAGAAGACTAGCTCGAACAAGCCGCCCATTGACAGCTTTTTGTTTGCCATTCGGCAAATACCAGTACAAGCGACTACCGATGGGTATATCGACAGCCCCTGACGAATACCAAGCGTGCATGGATTGTATCTTTGGTGACCTGCCGTTCATCGTGGTGTATCTGGATGACCTGCTAGTATTTTCCAGTACAGACGAAGACCATATCTCTCATTTGCGCATACTCTTCGACCGCCTGCAGACCTACGGCGTTTCGCTAAATGGAAGAAAGTGCCATATTTGGTGCAAGGAGGTTGATTACCTTGGGTTTACGCTATCGACCGATGGAATAAAGCCTCAAGAAAAGAAAACCCAGGCCATTCAAAAGATCGCAGTGCCACGCAACCGAAAAGAGCTTCGACGTTTTTTAGGCATGATCAACTACTACCGCGACATGATTCCAAACAAGACAACCGTATGCAAGCCGCTATATCGGTTCACAAGCGCCAAGGTACCCTTTACATGGCTACCCAGCGATACGAAGGCCTTTCAAGACATCAAGCGTGCGTTTGCAGAGGCCGTCCTGTTAGCGTTCCCTGACTTTAAGAATCCGTTCCATGTCTACGCGGATGCTAGCGGAACTCAGATCGGTGGACTGATAATGCAAGGCAACAAAATTCTGGCATGTTACTCGCGCAGTCTCACCAAGCACCAGATCAACTATACCACCATGGAGCTGGAGCTCCTTTCGATCGTTGAGCTGTTACGCGAATACCGAACGATGCTCCTCGGATTTCCCGTCGTGGTCCATACGGATCACAAAAACTTGATCTACCCCAATGAGACAAGTCTTCGAGTGAAGCGATGGAAGTTACTCCTCTCTGAGTATCACCTGACAATGACCTATATTAAAGGGGAGAAGAACATCGGAGCAGATGCTTTCTCACGCATGCGATTTGCGAACAGTAAAGGTCCATCAATTAACGACGAAGTCTACACGCTCAATACGTCATCAGAGTGCGTAATGCATGGTCCAGTTATCTACCAGCACCAAGAGAATGATGAAATGATCGCATCGATCAAAGCAGCATGTCTAGACGGTACCAACAACCCCGACTATCAGCTCCAGGTTCTCTTGGGATGTACCATGGTTGGTTACAAACACCGAGTAATCGTCCCTGACAGTCTTCGTGATGACCTGATAGACTGGTACCACACAAATCTCGGCCATCCAGCAAGTCATCGACAGCATAAAACGATGCAAAGTACCTTCTACTGGCCGCACATGGAAACAACGATAAACAAGTTTGTTCGCAAATGCATCAAGTGCAAGCGCTCGAAGTTACACGGAGGGAAACAAGCCTACGGACTTCTACCACCACGGACCAATAGAACCGTCAACCCATTCGATATTGTACACGTTGATCTTATCGGACCATACGACGGCGGCTATTACGGGATAACCATGATTGATCAAGCTACTCGGTGGCTGGAAGTTGCTGTACAGCCAAATAAAGAATTGCTGACGACGGCTGAAAGTTTTGATCGTGAGTGGCTTTGCCGCTACCCACGTCCACGACAAGTTGTCCATGACCAAGGGTTGGAGTTTACAGGAGAAGAATTCCAGGAACTACTGCGCAGTTACGGTTTGAAATCAAAGCCAATCACAGCAAAGAATCCGCAAGCGAATGCAATCTGTGAGCGTGTGCATCTGGAAATATTGAACGTCATCCGTTGTCACACAGGCGCAGAGTGGAAGAAGGTCATTCATTACGCTGCTTTTGCAGTGCGTGCGAGCTATCATAGCATACTCAATGCATCTCCGGGACAACTCATTTTTGGACAAGACATGATTTCACGTCAACTGCACGAGGCAAATTGGAGTTACCTGTCAAAACGGCGGTTTCGGGCTATCCTAGCTGACAACACACGCGAAAATACCAAACGGCTCGTGCACTTTTACCATCCCGGCGACCACATAATGATTCGAAGACCTAAACAGTTTCGCGCAAAGACTAAGGAAGTGGCAGATGGGCCCTACCCCATTAGCATTGTGCATGAAAATGGAACTGTCACTATTGACAAAGGCGCGACGACGCAACGACTATCGATTCGTCGCATCTTCCCGTGCTAGTGTAATTGCTTCATGGGGGGAGTATGACATAACTGCCTCATACACTGGTTAATGATGGATGGATCCTACTCCACGACCAAGCTACGACTAAGCGAAGAACAATCGGATGGATGGATTGATGGATGGTTGATGGATAGATGGAATTAGATGAAGCATTCAGGTAGGCACGGTAGGCTAACATGGTATTCAATACATTCTCAATTTTACCTTTGACTCCGCAAGACCCTCTCAAGCAAGGCTCGCGGACCGATCACCCCTCTGCAAGCCACGGGTGTGTCACCTTGATTGCCTTTTATGTCCTTCGCAGTGACTTGTGTGGCTGCAACTTCATAGGAGCAGCTCCTTCACCCTTCTCCTCACAAGTAAATTGATCGTGTCTTGGTCACGTTCACCTGTGATTCAGACTCGATGTAAATTGTCACTTGCCTTACTCGCTCACGTGTTTCTCCACAAGAAAAACTTTCCGAACAAACAAACTGAAAAGCTATTTGCAACACACAACATCGTTCCTTCAGCTTAAACACTTTACACATCACGTTATTTCATCTATCTGACTTATGGGACCCCGTACCGCAAAAGCACAGTAGCAAGAACATCGTACAACAAACAAGACCAGGGTACAGCATGTGTTTGCTTCCACCCTACTCCATCATGACGCAAGCCGCTCCATCGTACCGCCCAGCAACCATTCCGTGTTGCCAAATTCCTTTTTCCTATAAGGCGATGCGTTGCTAGCAGCAACTACAACTCGCAACACTTCTGCTATCATGCGGTAGACAACGCTCACCATGCCCTCAAGTAAGTGTTTGTGGTCAGTCCTTCTGCGTGGACACTACCCGATAGCCTCCGAATAAAAATATATCGGAAAAGCCATCGTCAACAACATACAAACCAATCCATAAGCGCCACACTATTGCCGTCATACTTGCAGACTTGCTCCCACCATGAGATCGAAAAGCACCGACCTGCCTCAGCTGTGTGATCTGCAGTGATGAGAGGCTGACCTGCTCGTCATTTCGCTCTTCCGACAGCCGTTTCGCCTGCCCGCCATTGTCGATAGTCCATCCACTCTGCGACCGTCATACATCAAGACAAACAAACGGGTCTAAACAAAAGAGGATGGCAAGTTAGTTCGCACAACGTCTGTTGCGAACAGCACGTATGTAAAGCTTTCGCTCGAGCTAATGCCTTTCAACCTGAGACGGTAAAGACGTCCGCGAGAAGAGCGACTTTCGCGCAATGCCTAAATCACTCCGTACGTCAATCGGTATACAGGAAAGAAGACCAGGCCATCCCAGCAACCCATCGGGAACCTTCGTCAAGTAGTACGTGCTTGATGGTGATACGTCCAGTATCGTGTGACTTGGGTCATGCAACTTGCTGAGCGAAAGTTGCTAATGATCGAAAGACGTCGCATGCGTCCTGTCGGCCCGCTAGTTTCTAGTCGAAAACCTCTTTGAGCTGTCTTTATCGCGTAACCCAACAAGCGCCTACCCATGTCTCCTCGTCGCTAATAATAATCGACAATTGCACCACGATCGCACATGTTGTTTCTCTCTTTGCGACACTCGCATCCTCTCGCGGCCTCCAATCGTGCTTGCGAAACCAACTGTAGGAAGACTTACACACCGGTCATTTATTCTCCATCAGCGACTGAAGGAGACCTGCCAATTGAATCTGCTGCGCAACATCGTACCCCGGTGTCTGTAGTGCTCCTGGTGATCATTGCAAGTCTTTGGATCGCAGTAGAGATAGCCACGACATGGACGGACAGCTCCGCGTGGCTGTCATTGGCTCCCAGACGCGCCACCCTGGTACGGCCATGGCATACACGGTCTACCGCACAGCTGTGAACTACCAGGGTCTTTGCTATCACCGTCTCATCCGTTACCGACAATTTCGGTACTTTGCCAAGCACCTGAAGCTGGACCCGAGGTCTGCACCTATCTTGGCGAAGCTGCCGCCCAAAATCTGGTGGAGCCGCAAAGCATCGTTACGACCCGAGACCGTGGAAGTCAGACAAGTGCTGGTACGAACCCATCTTGTTTACTTCATTCACATGTGCATAGGTCTTAGTTGTTTTGCACGTCGTGGTTCGTGTTTGACAGTTAAGCGAGTTCATGCGGCAAGTGTGTGCTCGCTCATTAACGGCTCGAAGCAAGGAGCAGCTATTGGAGATACTGCAAGCGGGGAAGTTTGCGCCGAACGAAGAAAAAGACCGTGTCGTTGATAGTCGATTGGGCTCTGAGCAGCAGAGTATCACTGTTAGGGAACACATGTCCGGCGACCAAGACCACAATCATTTCTGCTACGTAGGTGATGATGAGACGTCAATTTGTGGCGAGGAAGAGCGATTCAAGTCGTAGCATTTTCACAGCGAATCAATCTACACATGGCTTGAAAGACTTGCTTTGGTCTTACAGGCGAGGCAATCGCCTCGTTCGAAAGCAAACTGTTTAGCTTAATGTAGAGATGGCACGGACCTTAACGGTATTACTTTCTGTCGAAGTCCAGCTTTGCAAAGGCCATCGGACGTTCCATGACGTGGAGTGTTGCTACGACGATTACTACGATCCAATGTTTGGACGTGAGGTCACACACGTGCACGTGAAAAAGGTAGAGTGAAAGAAGTCGTCACTGTACAGCAGCGTGGCGAGTCTGCGGAATATGTGAGTGGAAGCAAGGGCAGTAAAGGGAAGGATTGCCGCTCCATTGTACTGCCAAAGCAGCACAAGGTAGACTCGCACTTCAGAAATCGAAAACCTTCGGTGCCGTTCGCTGTGTCCCAGCTCGTCACTTCTTTTTACTAACAAATCAGCGATACAACGAATACCAGATACTCACTCGCATGCCACTGCCAGTCAAACCTGTAAATGCAATAGCAAGTAATCCGTAAAGCAAGTTGCAACAACAACAATACAAAGTAGAGGCGTCTCATTTAACGACGATAGTAAACCGAGTCTGAAATCTGCACTCGTGAGCCTCTTCGCGCCAATGGCACCAGACTGCATCGCTCCGTCGATTTTAGCTCGAGCCAAACGCCTTAGAGGCGGTCGTAGAAACGGTCGAAAGGAGGAACCTCCGGAGTCAACCCCTTGCGCACACGCACGCCATTGACCAACTTGCCCGCCATGTTGTTCGTGTCGGTCGGATCACCACCGACAACCTGGTAGTGGTCAAACACGCACTGCGGGAAGGCCTTACCACCGGTAGCTTGACGCAGGTCAGCAGTAAAGCCAAACGACTCGTTGACAGGCAAGTAAGCCTTCAGCTGCATCATCGGGGTACCCGGGCGCTGCTCCTCCGCAAACACGTGGCCGCGACGGCGAGTAAGCACACCGTAGACACCGCCAACAGCGTCCTGCGGCACTTGAATGTCTGCGAGGAAGACAGGCTCCATCAAAGCAGGTTCCGACACCAGCTGGCAAGCGTACACCACACGACGGGTGGTGGGCAAGATCTGGCCCATGCCACGGTGAATAGCATCAGCGTGCAACACCACGTCGAGCAGGTTCACGCGCATACCACGCACGACCTCTTCGCACAGCACACCGTCCTTCGTGGCCCAGTTGAAGCCACCCAGTACCGACTCCTTGATTTCGTTCAGGTACGACACACCCTTGGTCACGTCCACAAACAGGTTGGCACCCGTGCCATCAGGTCCGTAACCCCAAATCTTACGGGCGTCAGTCACGTCCCACTCGTGGTTGTCGGCCAGGTAACGCGCACGCAGCTTCTGGTCAAAGCGAGGACTCACCTCATCTTTTCCATCCTCAATCTCCAGGGTCAGCTCCTCACTCAAAGGAGTTGCTTCGCAGAAGAGACGGTTGTGCTTGTTAGGCGACTTGGATAGACACGTCTTGGACGAGTTGCCGGTGATCGTCTCGCGGTAAGAAACGACTGGCTCCGAGATCTTCACTTCTGTGCCCATGAACTCCTCCTGCAAATCCTTCAGACAAATTTCAAGGTGAAGCTCTCCGGCACCAGCAATAATGTGCTCACCCGACTCCTCCGTGTAACACAGGACCATAGGATCGGACTTCGACAGACGCTTCATTCCCTCAACAAGCTTAGGCAGGTCTGCAGCGGTCTTGGGCTCAACAGCCACGCGCACGACAGGTGACACGGAAAACTTCATCGTACGAATGGTGTGGCCCGTTTCCGACGTGGTGATCGTACCAGACTTCAGCAGGTACTGGTCCACACCGACCAAAGCACACGTGTTACCTGCCGGAATGTCAGGGGTCTGCTCCACATAACGGCCCATCATAATGACCGTACGCTGGATGTTCTTCACCCACAAGTCAGTCTTCTTGCCCGGCACGTAGTTGGGGCCCAACATACGCACTTTCTGGCCAGTGGCGATCTTACCGGCGAACACGCGACCGAAAGCATAGAAACGACCCTTGTCCGAGGTCGGCACCATCTTAGACACGTACATCACCAGAGGACCGTTGACGTCGCACTTTCGGATAGCTTCAGCGCACTCGTCGTCTTGCGGACCTTCGTAAAGGGTGTCCACACGGTACCTCTGAGCCGTCACGGGAGACGGCAGGTGCACCACAATCATTTCAAGAACGGCGTCAGCAGCTGGCAGCCAGCGCTGCATGACACGCTTAAGCAGTGGTTTGCCCGTCAGCTCCTTCTCGTCCGACTTCAGCTCCACGCCAACAGCCTTCATCATTTTCTCGTATTTGGCCTTCTTGTCGTTCATGATGGCATCGAACATCTTGATGATGGGGTCCATGATAAACTGACAGAAAGCACGCTTGAGGGTGCCCTCCGCGTTGTTCTTGCTCGTCCATTTCTTGTTTACAGCGTCAAAGTACCAGTCGCCCCAAAGTTTCTGCATCATCTTGTCCTCACCAATGCCGAACTTCTTCGAATACAGACGAGCAAACTTCTTCAGCGTGAAACCCCACTGGTGCAGACCTGAGCCAAAGGCAACAGTGCCCTTCTCGGGGTAAACCTGGACATCTCCCAGCTTCTCATCAAAGTACGTAGCGATAACCACGTTCACCGTCTCAATAGCACGGGTGAACGACTGGTAACAGTCCTCCGGCTCAAGGTGGAGCTCAAGCAGAGCACGGTCTACTTTGTTCACCATCAAGACAGGCTTCACACGCTCACTGATCGACTGACGTAGTACCGTCTCAGTCTGCACGCAGACGCCTTCAATGCAGTCCACGACAACCAGAGCACCGTCCGTCACACGAAGCGCAGCCGTCACTTCCGACGAAAAGTCAACGTGACCAGGCGAGTCGATCAAGTTGATCAAGTACGAGTTCTTCGAGATTTGCACCGACTCTTCATTGGCCGCTTTTTCCTCGGCAGTCTCCTTGGCGATCGCATCGGCCGTCGCCTGTTCACCAGCGTCCATGTCGTACTCAAAGAACATGGAAATACCCGTCGACTTAATGGTAATGCATCGCTCCTGCTCGTCAGCGCGAGTGTCCGTGAAACGAGCCTCTCCGGCGTGTTTGGCCGAGATAATTCCGGCCTTCGACACGAGCGAGTCGGTCAGCGTGGACTTGCCGTGGTCGACGTGGGCGATCACAGACATGTTACGAATGTTCTTCGTGTAGTCCATGATCTCACGCATCTGGTCAACCGTGAAGTTCACCTGAGAGGCGCATGGTACGAGAGAGAGACAGAGAGCGAAGATATCGTGTGAGGTTTGGACAGGGATGTATGGATAAATGATAAATTACGTCGAGTAAGTTATTTATTTTATGGTGGGTGTGTAGGAGGTCGTACCATGGTTGTTGCGTGGTGGGTGAGGGTTTTGCGCCGGGCTGGTGGTGGTTCTCTCTCGTTCGGGCTGGATCCAAAAGAGGAAATGGCAGCGCCAGGAGGAACGGAGAAAAGGGCCTACAAACGGGTGGAGCACAGCGCCCCCTTTGTCTTGTAACATCACATTCTATGTATGCCTTTACAATCATACTGTCAATTTAAGGTTCATGTTTTCCCGAGGTTTTTTACGCGTGGAGCACACGTGTGAGCTTTTATTTGAGCAGAATGCGACGGCGAAAGAGAGTGTACACTCTTTGCTTACAAGTAGCATCATAGTTATTAAATTGAGTGAATAGGGCAGTACGAATAATGGGACATTAGGCAGCTGGCAAGATCAACCAACGACCAGGAGGCCAAGGACTAGTGACGCTGACGACGTACTGCTCCAGAATCGAATAGGTGCTGCAATTTATTCGGATACTTGTTTATGGGTACTTATTTTGTCATGTAGGATCAGAACAAATGGGCTACGTTGCGATATTAATATTTGGAGGGTTTTGGCTTCGATTTCAAGTGGTAATTAGCGTGCTGTAAAGTAGAGCACGTCAGAGTCTCCTATTCAGATCGAGTTCGCATTGCGATCGAAGAGAGTCAGTGGTCCGAATTAGTTCTTCAGCTGGCGAAAGTCGAAAGCGAAACGAAGCTTCGCCGCTCCATGCTCGTCTGAATCTATCGTGTCTATTGCAATCGCATCTGGCTACGATGGGTCCACACCAACTGCTTCACGTAATCGCAAGTCACCCTCTTGTCCATTAATGTGCAGAGAGCGAGACACTTTTATAAGGATGTTGTCAGCCATTGCAATCTATGGAAACGCAATAGAGCAGTCAACCCCATTGTAGACGAGAGGTCCGGCACTGCAGAGAATAACAAAATGAAAACTGAAGCCCATGTTTCCGCACACGCACTTCACTCAAGTGTCTAGTGGCTGCTCCACCGCAAGTTCTCTGCTACACTCGCCTTTCCATCACCAGCGTCCAGTTGCTATACCACGATCTTGTCGGTGTCGTCGCTTTCGCCAATTGCCTTCGCTGACGCTTGAACGTCTGCGTCGAGAAAAAGCGGATCTACATGAAGGCGCTTGGCTGCTGCATCTGGCAGGTCTTAAACTGGTCGAGGTACATCTGGCAAGAGGCAATGTCGTTGCTGCTCGTGTTCAGGCACTCCAAGAATGCCTTCTGGTCAGCGCCACACTGGTTTTGCGCCGGTGGCTGCGCGGTCTGGTGGTCAGGCGACGCCGAGGCAGCTTCCAGATGCTGCTGCGGGGTATCCGCGCCACCAGAGAACGAGCCAGCAACGGCGCCCACAGCACGGTGAGCGACAGCGCTGCCGGTTCCGAAGGCCATGCCCTGAGCCACCGTGCTCATTAGGCCGCTCATCATACCGCCACCACTGCTGCTTGGATGCGCAGGGGCAGGAGCTGCTTGCTTGTGTGCCGGAGCAGGTGCCGAGCGACGGGCCTGGGCAGGTGCAGGGGCACGGCGAGGGGCAGCGCGGGGAGCAGGGCGGGAAGAACGGGAACGTCCCATGTCGTCTGAAAACTCTTGAGCTCTTGGTGTCCAATTGGATACTGACGACGGGAGGGCAGAACTTGCCGTTTTGTGACACATCACACGTACACAAAGAATTATCGAGAATTACGGGGATTGGACGTTTGAGCTCCAACATTGTAAGCGGAAGGAGGAAAAAGGCTGACCAATGAGTGTACACGCGCTGCAAAACTGACTTTTTGATCGCGTCATCTACAAATTGGACCTATTCCTTTTTGTGTTTCTGATACCAGTATCCTGGATTGCAAAGGTGCGCTATAACCTTAAAATAGCTACAGTAAGCTGTACGTTGTGCAGCTTTTGCTAACAGAGAGCACAAGGCAGCTCTCGGAGGGACGCACTAAACATCTCCAACGGATAGAGCAACTCTATCTCCAACAACACAAATACGTATGATCACTTATTTTTGAGTCGTGATTTGCCCTCGATTTGACAGATGGCAGATGCGCGAACTATCCGCAATCATTCTAGAGCATGCAACCCATTGACTTTGCCCGCATGGTGCGACGATACCGCTCTCATCTGCCATTTGTCAAATCGAGAGCAAATCACGACTCAAAAATAACTGATTATATGTAGTTGTGTGGTTGGAGATAGAGTTGAACACAGGTACTCACTCTATCAGTTGGAGACGTTTCACGCGTCCCGCTCTTGGAGGACTTTACACAAGATCCTAAGACTGAGATAATACTCGCTGTCCTTCACAAACAATCCGTACAAGCTTATTACGATCACAATTTTTGTTACCCGCGTTGTAGCTCGGCTGGACAACAGACGTAGCTCAAAAGCAGAGGCCTTTTACTCGCCAGTATTCCCTTACTGCAGCGCATCAATCAAGGCGTCAGATTGAAGATACCAAAGGCGTCAGGTTGAAGATCACGGCAAACCTGCTTTTCCAAGTCGACCAAAATCTCTCGCCAACATTTTCAGAACATCCGGCAAGCACCGGCAATTACTTCACGCTTTCTCCGCCGTTTTTCTCCAGCTGCTCAACACGAGCTGTTAATTGCAGCAGCTTTTTGTCGACGTGGTCGAAACGGGAATTCAGTTGCGCTTGCATAGCCGTCATTTTCACCACGATCAGCTCCAGCAGGTCCGTGTGCGTACTGGCATCGCAGTTGTCATCACTAAAGCTACTCGGAGTGTCATTACCAGCAAATGCAGTCACATTTGGCAATTTGCTAGTCGGTCCGAGGGCAGCTTTGGATAGGATATACTGTGGCACTCTGAACTTCGACAGATAGACAGGCTGCGGTTCCAGGCTCGCAGCAGCTTGGAAAAATGAGGTGCGTTTGCGTTTCTCCGTCGAAGCGACGTCCACATACAAGGAATTCTCGGTAAAGCGGATTCCTCTGCACACATGAGCAGTTGGCAGATCCTACATGGTATGCGAGCAACAAGGTAGGCATACAAGTCATCGTGACATCACCGTGGATGTAGCAACAGCGGTACTTACGAGTTCCCCGTACAGCGACGGCGTCCACTCTAAAGGATCGGAATTATTGAGGTGCGCAAAAAGCAAACGCGAAGACATAGTGCTTCCAACGATGGCTACCCTCTCCTGCTGGGTGGTCAAAGTGTTAAAATCGGTGTAAACGATCTGCGTTACAACTCATGGTAGTAGTACACACGACATACCTGAACAGCAAAGACGTCGGGAGATGTCAAATTGGGTAGATCAAGGATCGACATAACAAACCATCTCCCCGATGTGCATCCAAGAGTCCACATTTGAGAGCGTGGTATCGCATGCGATGCTGATGTTTGGTAAGGCGCTTTACCCTGCAATTGTCAACATCACAGAGTCTAGTCAGTCAAACGACTTCCGGGCATGTGGCCGGGCTGACTTTGTACCTCAGCGTGGTTGAGAATTTGCAGAGAATTCGTGGTACTTGTGAAGCCTGACATGATGCGTTTGGACGTCAAATCGATGATATCGCTGACGGAAGTATCCGTCGTTTCTCGAATTTCTACACGATGGGTGCTATCGGGGAACAGCAACAGGCTTGATGCATGTTCTGTCAAATTGGGATGAGCTCCGTAATCAGACGTTATCATGCAAAAATGTTGGGCACTCACGCGTAGCATCTTCTAGAATCAATTTTGCGTCCGTCGTGAAGATGCAAACGGTTGGAGAGACGCGTGCTATAGCTGCGATTTGACCGGCGCAGGCTTTCCCAACTTCAATTTGAAACCCGTCGATGCTTTCCAACGTGCCCACATCAAATTGGCCATGAGCCGGCTGTTCACAGAGTAAGCAATCGACGTCTTTCCAGCCGAAACAATGGAGGGTGCGGTTTCGCGCTCTGTTTTCGATCATATCAAGTACGGGTGAACACGGAACAATCAATCGAGGTGCGACAAAACCAATACGTACAGCGACACGTGCAACCCGCAAGGACTCCACGAACTCGCGCTCCATGATTGATGTGTTTCAGTATCTGCATAAACCTGACGCGACGATAAGAGTGGTCCAGAAGCATCGACCACTGATATACCGGTCGTAGAGTAGGCCTGCACGCGAAAACAAACATTGTTGCCTCGTTACGGCACTGCAGAAGAGATCCACATGCACACTTTTCGTTTAACATACGAGCAAAACTTCGTAGCAGGGATTCCACGATATTCCTTGCAAATGATTGATGTCCAGTGAGCTCTTCAAATTCGCACAGATTCCACTACGGCAAAGATCAACACAGCGCATTCAAACATAAGAGCGAGAATGTGATATCGCCGATACGCCAAACAATACCTTGATACAGCGACTTCCCAAATATCCAGTCGAGTGGTCATGGAAATCGCAAGCAGGCTCTTTATGATCGTTCCCTGAGACCAAGCTACTAACCGATAGCGCGCCTTACTCTACAAATAGAGCCGCAGTGAAAAAAAACACCAAAAGGAGTTGCTCCTAAGCAGGTCACAACTCTCACACTATTTGGTTCGTCATCATACAAAGTCAACGATTCAATGGGTTGGTCCACCACGCCTTGCTCTGATTCTCGAGCGGTATCGATGTATTGGTGGCGCGTAATTACTACTGACGAGCCAAGTGACACCGCTGACACATGTAGCTTCGGGTTGTATCCTGCACATGTACACGAATAAAAAATCGAAGATCCACAAGTATGAAAAAAGACAATGTCACCGCACCGTCTTGCAGCAAGTTGTTCTTAGTGCCGAGCACAAACAACGCATCGGTCCATGTAGTCGGTTCGTGGGTGAGCATTTCGGGAATAAATGCTTATAGAGAGAAGTTTCGGTCTCTTTTTTCGGTCTCATTGTTTCGGCAACTGTAATCGATAAAAAGAGCGCTTAATATTTACTGGACCAGCTGAAAAAGTAAGAAAAGAAAACTAAGCGAACAAAATTAAAATCGGATCTGCACATTTAGCAAGACTAGCATCTACGATAATGTATCTGAGACGCTGGCAGTGGAGTTGCGAACTTTGTTTAGTAAGGAAAATCATGTACAGCGAGAATCGTGCTCATACGATCTGAAGGAGAGTTCTACGGTGAGTTGACGCGTACATATTTCATCCTGTCTCTTCCGTCGTGTTCTGCTTGTATCAGTGACCTGCGGGATACAACTATGCTGGTTTAACCTTCTGCACATGCTTAAGGCATGTTCACACAGGATGGTACCGGTGCAACGTTCGAGGCCAAGCTTCACCATCCATTTCTGCCCTGAGGTGGCTGCAAGCCGTATCGGTCACAGCTAACGCAGAAACGGGCACCGCCATCGTGCAGACGACGCAGCAATTCATCGCTTGTCATCTGCATCGATTTGCAGGAGACAAAGGCGTGGACTCCAGGTTTAATATGGTGACAGAAGTACCTCAATCAAGGCGCTGGTCAGGAGGGCGTTTCATTGACTCGACAAATGGAAAATTCGAAATGAAGCAATCACTCAAGCGAATACGGCCTAGGAAGACCAGCTAATGCCGTGGAAGTGAAGTAGTGTGATCCCGATATATCCTGGATTGCAGTCATGAACGAACGTCATATTCTGGTACGAACATCTGCAGCGGCTATCTTAGCAAAGTAGACCGTCCAGCAGGTGTACTGAATAGCTTTGGTGAGCAGCAGATTGGATCAACAAAACCATAGTCACTGTTTATACATTAGTACTGCACCAAGCGTGCCAACAACTATATCTACAGCCTTAGCATCGGTGTCGTGACCATGAATATCCACAATGTCATCAAGATCTCAATAAATTCCGTGCGAGTGTCGCGTATGCGAATTGCTACAGCACAATTAGGCGCCGATACAGCGTTTGGCGGCTTCAACGACTCTGGTATTGTCTATGGAAAGTCCTTGGAGCGCAAGACGGTAATTACCAAGCGCTCAGACGACGCGACGATGTCTTGAAAGTGCTAAAAAAGATGTAGACGGATCAGTTTGACAGAATAAACGAACGGAAGTAGAGTATGCGGTACGACTGTTTTCAAGCGACGCCTTCACTTGTATCATTTTTGACGGTGTCGATGTGTGCGCCACATCCAGAATAAACAGAATGCCTCACTTCAATTGGCTGTTTCTGCAGTCTGAATTTGACCAATCAGTCGCTGTTATATCTCACTCGATGAAGTGAAGACGTCAGCAGGGAGACAAGTGGAAGTTCATGCACAAGCGCATGGCGAACGGACGAGCCACTGCGCGAGAGTCGCTCTTCTCTGGAGCTTCTTCAAGGCCCCAGGTACTGTGAGAAGCATATGAAGGCTTGCTGGTCGCATTGCGGGCCACAGGTGGAGCATGAACTAACTTGCCACCGTGTTTTTGCTTGGACTCGTTTGTTTGTTTGTCTGTCTGTCTTTCTGTTGTAGAATGGACGGACTGTCGACAATGGCGAGCAAGCGAAGCGGCTGTTGGAAGATCAGAACGACGAACAGATCAGCCACTTGTCGCTGCAGATCACACAGCTGAAGCAGGTCGGTGTTATTTATTTTGATCTCATGGTGGAAGCAAGTCTGGGAGAATGTCGCCACACATGAGTGGCGGCGCTCATGTGTTGCTTTGTACACTGTTGATATATAGACTTTTCTGATACTAATTTTTTTCTTTGGCAGCTATCCGGTAGTATCCACGCAGAAGTGTTGGACCAGAACCGTTTTCTTGATGGCATGGTGAGAATTGTCTGCCGCATGATAGCAGAAGTGTTGCTCGTTGTAGTAGCTGCTAACAATGATTTGTCTAATAGGGGAAGGAATTTGACAACACGGAAGGGTTGCTGGGCGGCACGATGAAGCGGCTAGGCGTCATGATGGAGCAGGGTGGAAGCAAACACATGCTGTATCTGGTCCTGTTTGTGGTCGTGGTGTTTGTGCTGCTGTACTTTGCCATTCGGTCCCACTAGTCAGGTGTAACGACGTCATGAATTGGTTTGCTCAGCCAAGAAATGGTGCTATGTGTTGCAAGTAGTTTTTCATGTGGTTTGTGCAAACAGCTTTCGAGCCCGTCACGCTTCTCACGAGTTTGAACACAGGTGAGTAGTAACAAGGTACAACAAGATTCACTATGATAAAAAGTTCAAAAAGCTGCTGCTTCGAGTTTGCAGTGCACACCAACCATGGAGTTGGTCGGGGCGACGGACTTGAGTTTAGCTCTTCATCAGCACGAAGGGGAAGAGCACTAAAATGAAGAACACGCACTTGACACGGCAACCGGTCACACTTCTCAAATTGTGTTCTTTATAGCCATTTTCACAGCTGCTGACCGGAGTACGGTAAATGTGGTAAGTGGCATGAATCCCGACACGTTCTTTGGCAGCAGGCTAGAGAAGCAAGGCAAGAAAATGTAAAGGAGCTCTTTAGCTTGGACAACAGCAGTCTTTGTGAACATATTCAGAAAGCGCCAGGATTTGGATGCACAAGAACAGCTACGTAGCCTTTGCTGCAGTCATCACGCGTAGTCACGCCATATTGGCCAACATGTGCGACTCAAGCAGCGTGGACGGACGGTTGAGGCGTCGTTTGATCGTGGACATGGTGGTGTGAGAAAGGTACGGTAGCCTGCGACACACCAATCGCTTCGGGCTCTCGATGGTCGTGTACTCCGCTGAAGAAAAAGCGCGAACGTATCGAAATCGCACGATCGGAAGGATACGACCGTGTGAACGGCGGTATCAGTCTCTCGCTTTCAAACACACTTCTCGGTCATATCTTGTGATGACTTATCGGCTGAGCAGCAGCATGAATTCGCGGAATCGGATATCAAAGTACACGAGGTTGACGAACCGGGAAAGTACCCGATTATTTGTGCAACGGGATGTTGTGAGCGGCGACAAAGTCTTAACTTGCATCTGCCGGATATTGAACGACAGCGAGACGGGGGCGGATTTGACAGCGTATAATGTTCAGGACAAGTGCTCTTGTGTTGTAATTATGTTTGTGGATGGTGGTTGGTCTGCTCGTTTCTGGTCAGACGTGTTCTCTTCTGTTGCAGCTCAGACAACTAACATGACGGTGGTGATGTCAGGTTCCACGGATTTAACTAATTGGAGGAGTTGCCATGGTTTACATCAGCTATTCTTATCTTCGCGGCTATACTTGGGTACGCGGTGGGTGACATCACTGATGTGGCCCGAGTATTTCATTGCCGAGAAGAGGTCAGAGTGTATTCAGCTGGCGTGGTCACCTTCGCAGCAAGGAAGCTGTGCATTTTTTCTGTCGATTGAAGTTAGAATGGTACAAACGACGTGTGTAGTTAATCGTTTCTTTCCTACATGAAACAGATCACATAAAATGCCATGCGGCGTGTGTACATACTTGGCGCGTGTGGCGAGCGCAAATTCCCGAAACATACGAAGCGTGCGATACGCGACGCTACTGACGACCTTGTTTAGCCCGATTCGCAATCTCGCTCTTTCGGTGCGCTGTGTTATTCGTTGGTCGCTTGTACTTGGATAAGTCCAAGTCCCGGAAGTATGCAATCGTCCGCATAAGCCCATCTTCAACGCACACGCTAGGGCTCCAATCCAAGTGCGTTCTAGAATACAGCAAGCGAAACAACAGCACGTAAGCATCATCAACATCATCCATACTAAACACAAAACGGAGTGGAACGGACTTGGCAAGAGTGATGTCAGGTTTGCGCAGCTTGGGGTCGTTGTTGGGCAGATCGCGAAACACCAAGCGGCTTTTAGAATTTGTCAGGCGGATGATGACTGCAGCGAGTTCGCGGATAGTCATCTCATGCGGGTTACCCAAGTTCATTGGCCCCACACACGTCGTGCAGTCCATAAAACGCACGATAGCTTCCACCAGATCATCCACAAAGCAGAACGAGCGCGTTTGGTCGCCCGAGCCGTAGACCGTTATGTCCTCGCCCTGCAGAGCTTGCATGATAAAGTTGCTCACCACGCGTCCATCATACGGGTGCATGCCCGGGCCGTACGTGTTAAAGATGCGGGCCACCCGAATATCCACACCCAGAGTGCGGTGGTACTCGAAAAAGAGCGTCTCGGCCACGCGCTTGCCTTCATCATAGCACGCGCGAACGCCCGTGCAATCGACGTTGCCCAAGTACGACTCCACTTGAGGCGATTGCTCCGGATCCCCGTACACTTCACTCGTCGAAGCTTGAAACACCCGCGCTTTGACGCGCTTGGCAAGTCCCAAGACATTCAGTGCCCCGAGAAACGACACTTTCGTCGTCTTAATGGGGTTGTACTGGTAATGCACAGGCGACGCGGGGCACGCGAGGTTGTAAATAGCGTCCACTTCACAGGCGTACGGCTCCGTGACGTCGTGACGCACAAACTCAAAGTTCGCGTACCGAGTCTGCAGCTCCAGCACGTTGGCGCGCTGACTCGTGAAGAAATTGTCGAGGCAAATGACCTCGTGGCCTTGCTCCAGGAGCTTGCGGCACAAGTGGATGCCAATGAATCCTGCCCCGCCTGTCACGAGGATGCGCTGGATGAGGCACTCGCGCACTTGACGAGGCAGAGCCACGGACGGACGACGCTGCTGGAGGAGAGACGTCGACTCGCGCTGTGGTACTGGTAGTGGTGATGGTAGCAGAGGCACAGAGGAGGCTGCGGACGGGTCCTGACTGTGCTCGTCACTTTGCGTCATCTCTTGGACAGCGATTGAAGGAGTGGGAGACATGCGACAGTCGCTCGGGGTCTTATTCTTCGGAAGTGCTGGGTGGCTAAGTGGCTCTTTTCTTGTCGCGTGGCTGTACGTGCAGTGTAGTTTACCCGAGAGTGGAAATAGCTTTCAGCGAGTGGTGCGACGCTATGACTGTTAAGGGGTCGACTGGGACTAAAAAATCGACGATCAATGACTTGGATCAATGTACCCTTTTTTGTGTCTGTGACCTAAAACGTGCAAACACAAGGTGCGACATTTGACTTTTTACAAAAAACGCTTTGTAGTCAGCGGAAGTTATTTATTTTCATTGTTTTAGAAACACAACCACTACATCCCACACTCCCTGCCATGCCGGCGACTGCAGGACGGGTGCGCATGCCGCACAACAACCGCATGCACAGCAGTGAAGCACTCAAGATGACCGGCATCTGGAAGAACACGATCGGCTACGATCCGTACGCGGCGGCGGATGCTGAGAAGACGGAGACCAGTGAGACGTCGTATGAACAGGCCAAGGGGCTCATGGCGCTCGCCAAACTTTCGAATAAATCGGTTGGTCAAAATGAGGCTGACTGCAACAAGGGGTAGGTCAGATTTCTTACGTGTGTTGTTCTTTGTTTTTTTTCGTACGCAGAGCGATGTGCGTGGAGCCTGTAAAAAGGTGAGGCCCAGTGTTTGCATGTTGTAATTTACGATTCTTAATATTAGTTTTGACGGGTACGATGTGGCTGCAGTGTGGCATGGTGGGGCATTTGACGTTCCAGTGTCGAAACCATTTGACTGTTGCCGAGACGCACGTGGAATCGTCGGATTCGTCTACTTCGTCGGTAAAGTTTGCTGCATAGATGCTGTGCAATTGTCTGGCTAACATGTCAAGATGCACGCGTGGTCGTGGACTTATGGTGTTTGGCTTTGTTGTGGGTTTTATTCATCGTCCAGGATTCATCCAGTGAAGAAGACGAAGACAGTGACGACGACGAGAAAGAGCAAAGGTCTTCTCGCCATCAGTCCTCACGTCGCCGCAGTCGTAGCCGGAATGAACGACGTCGCGGTCGTCTGGAACGTCGCAGTCGCAGCCGAAGTGCTGGTAGATGTCGTCAGGCAAGATCCCGGTCCAGAAGTCGTAGTCCGAGTCGCGGACGGAGCTGCAGCTCAAGCGTGGATTCTGACCAGGAAGGCAGCGACCGGGCTGGCAAGCTTCCGGTACTGAATAAGGAAAAAAAGCGCAAGCGCAAAAGCTCGACGAAGAAGAGACACAAGAAGGGAAAAGACAGAGACCGCAGAGAGTCCAAGCGTCGTCACGATGCGAAAAAGTCGCTTACAAAGACGAAACGGCGTCATTAGTCGAACGAAGGAACACGATCATGACAATACAAGAAGCGGTCGTTGCTGTATTCGGACAGTTCTTACGCTTTCTGCTCTCCCGTGCACACGAGACTTACCCTCGCACACGATGACCAACGAGGCAGCACGTCCTACGTCCATTTGGATGTGACCAAGCAAGCGTAGCCGTCTTAGTGATGCTGTTGGTACTTCAATCCATTGCGAACACTTCGTGAATAACGTTGGCAGCTGTAGCAGTCGCGGGTCCACTTCTCCACCAGACCTAGCAGCAAGGTATGGTCATCGAGATGACGGCAGCATCAGTGAGTCATCAGGAATGGGCATCCAGAGCCCCGCAGCGTACACCAACGAGAAGCTGAATTCGATTTCCAACAATAACGCGGAGCTATCTGATGCTACACTTGTAGTCTTCGCTGTTATCAGCAAACTGACTTGTCAGCAGCTCCTTGGCTTGATCTGTCAGTCCACCATGCTGCTGTGGTTCGTGCAACGATTCCCCCGCATGCCCTCTAGTTGGTTGCAGCTGTTCACACGGCCACCCTCTACCTCAAGCCGCCTTATGCTACGGCATAATGCCATTCGAAACCTTTTGGAACCAGTCGTATTGCCTCGTGCCACGGTGCCCGTTGCTCTTGTCCACAATGCGAGAAGCGGTGCGCTCTACGTCTTGTACGCTCCAGCCAACACATAGACGACGGCTAAGGCGCCGAACAATGTGAGCCCGCGATTGGCCTTGAAAGCACGGAAAGCACGAGTCTTTGGATGACAAATAAACAAGCGACAGCAACTGCGAAGCTTCCAGGTGCAGAGCGAGTAACCCTTGGGCCATGAGCTGCCGGTAGTGGTCGAAACCCTCCGCACCCATGATCTCCACCATTTCGGACGTGAGCTTGAATGGAGCCACCTCGAGGCTGAATGTGTTCCCCGGTGCAATGCCCAGAACGAAGCCAAAATCAATGTGCACGACGTGACCTTCAACGTCTAGCATGATGTTGCCGTTATGTCGGTCTTTCACGAGGAACACGTAGGAAAAAAGACTGTAGGCCGCCATGCTCGAAATGAAATTGGCACGAGCTCTCTCGAGGCGGACAGGATCGCGTTCACCAGTTATAGAATCTCGGCCACACGCCTGATCAAATATATTGACCAACGAGGTGCCGACGCCGTCATTTACCAATCCCTTCTTCTTTAGTCCATCTAGCGACTGCGCATCGGTGATCACTTCCAGCAGTCCACAATCCTTACCCGCACACACGATACTGTAGTAGCGCATCCAGAGAATGAGGCCATGTTTGCGAAAAATAAGCTGGAATAACTTAATTCCTTGTAGCACGAACACTTCCTGACGCATGTCGTCGAAGCTCTTTGCAATAACAGGAACTAGCGCCCAGCCATCGTAGCGTGAAAACGAGCTCTCTTCTCGAATACGCCTTTGCATGTCGGCAAAGCGTTCGCCGAAAAATGGACATTTGAAGACATCTGATGAGTTCGCCGAGTTTCGGCTGTCACGTTCGTCCGGACTAGTCTCCACATTCGTCTCCTCTGCATCACTTTCACTACCGCAGAAAACATCGAACTCACCTAGATCACTACGGGGTGTACAGTCTACCGAGAGTGCATGGTTTAGACCATCTAGGTCCTCCGAAATCGAAGACCCCACTGAGGTCTGAGATGAAACGGGAATCAGATCTGCCACGTAAGTTCCAATAAATTCTCCATCCAGGTAGCTCATAATTTTGTGTTGGTGTGGTTCTAAAACATCACCTGTATCGTTTTTCACGTCCGCGGCAGCTTCCACTGCATCACCGAGATCGCCACCGTGAGACTCATCATCACTTTCCAGTGATGCACCAATAATCTCAAAGAGAACCAGAGTCGGCGCACGAGCCTTGGTCGAAAAAACTGTACCTTCGTCCGTTAGAACGTTAACCACACGGTGTGTGCGCGTGACGCCACCTGACAGTGGCAATGCAGCCTCGGGCCGAATGTGCTTCCCACGAAGCATCTCCTGCAACAGTGCAGGAAGCTGCGTCTTTCGCTTTGAAGGCTCCGATATGTTTTCTTTCAAATACGTGCAGAGATCTACAAGAAATCGCACAAGCCGCACTTCGTCACCAAAAACATGCTGAGCAGGCTTGCTCCATATCCGCTGCTTTGTCTCCACACAATGTTGGGTTCCTGATCGTCGACGTTCCACGATCATTAGTTGGGCTTCTTCATGGTAATCGGCCGGAAATGGGTCCAAAAAGCCGTTATCGGCACGGAGCTGTTTTTGCACGTTGCGTGAGCTGATCACAATCTCCTCCTTGCTACGCGCAAGAAGCCACTGGTAAAAGGGAGACTCGCGCTGTGACGCGGCGTAGACACGACGAACATACTCATACAGTTGCTCAAGCAACTCACTGAATGACTCGCGCTGATGAACCGGTGCTAGCGGAAACAACAGCTGCGGCAATACGCTTCGAGGCTCGCCAAAGTTGATGTTCATCACGAAGAATAACATCACTACGATTTCGTTTCCACGCTCATATAGCCCACCTGTCATTGCGTCCCAATGAGCAGCAACGCATTCCCATGATGCCTTGACTGCGAGGTGGACGCTACGGCGAGCAGTTGCGGCAAGAAAAAAGAGATAGAAGGCCCGGATGCTGGGTGAAGCATCCGAGAGATTGACAAAACCCCATTGCAAAAACTGTGGCCAATAAAAGTCCATCGTGTCTAGGCAGTTCTCAACGTTGTGCACGAGCTGCGCTAGCACTACGACGAACATGAACGGCTGTTGTCGGTACTTGAACATCGCTGCGAGAAGACTCAAAGGACCGAGGTTCCGAGCACGGATGTGAGCGCTGATCGTGAGCTTGGGACTCTGATCGAAATATTTCCAGCGCACCAAGCGTGACAATCCACCGGCTTCGTCGACGACGGATGCATAGAATACTCCAGCTGCCTGCAGTGATGTTAGCAGTTGTTGCCGCAAGTAACAATCCATACACACAAGTTTCAGTTCGGTTGCAAGCATAGCTCTTCCGCCTTCCTGAGATTTGACCACGTCTTGAGCTGATCGAGTCATTGATTCGGGTACATGTATCGCAGTCCGTTGGTTGCAGTGATCACGACAGAAGCGATGCGAACAGGACGCACAGATCTTTGCTGTATGTATAAAGCGCCCGAACCGCTTACTGCAGCGCAGACAGCCATGACTCGGGCGTAGAACGGAGCCGAACAAGGCGCTCAGACTATGCCGCCGATTCGCAATACTTGTAGCAGATCCCTGGACGATACAAGAGCTACGGGGGCCGCTTGCGCTACTGCGAGAACGTTCACGACAATTAACGAGTTCTCCATTTTGTGGTTGTCCCGTCGACAGCACCAACGACGGGTCCAACACAGTGTCTGCTTCAAGTTTAAGTTCGACATTGGCATCACGAACGTCGCTATCGTCGATATTGCCAACCTCCTCTGCGTCTCCATTTCTCCCTATCAGCTCCAAGTGGTCCATCGTAAACATTCCAGGTGCAGCTTTGCTCGCTGTCGCCTTGAATGAGCTCAAGGCCGATGTCGCAAACGACAGAAACCCAAACGGATCACCTTCTTCCATGAGGGTTTCCGACTTGCCTTGATGCAGCAACTGCCGCACCGATGAAGACGACGGGGGCGCTGACACGTGCAGCGACTCAAGCTCGTCGTTCTCGTTCTTTCTTTCCCCTGCATCCTGTATTACCCCTTCTTTTTCTCCACTAACTTCCTGTTTCGTCTGTTCGGTCTCGCTCTCCTCCTCGATACGAAGCACCTCCTCAAGCTGCTGCACCCACTGATCTCTCTGCGTCTGTGTCTCCGCCTCCACCAAGAGCACGACTCCCGACACATTGTCCTGTACATAGAACAAGCAGCTCCCGACTTGGCTCCGCTCTTGCGAGCCACCATCTTGTATCTGGGCGCCATCAAGCACTTTCTCCATCTCTGTGTCCACCGCCTCGACGCCCGAGACGCTCGTGGTGATTAGTAATCGGGCGCTGCTGCTCGTGTCCGTGCCGGTGTCTACTGTCAACCACGCGAGTGTCGCAGAGGACGCAGACAGGGCACAGACGTACCAGACGTTGTTGCTCAAATGTTCATAGTGCTGAGTGCGAGCGAAGGAGGAGACGGTCGATGGCTCGTGCGCTTCAGTCGCGCGCGCAGGGTCGAGGTCCGCAAACGAGGGGGAGACGAGACGCTCGCGGATGCGCACGAGCCCTTTGCATCGCGACGTCGTCATCGGAGGATTCGAACGGACCTCTTCAAGGTTTTGGCGTGTGACATGACGAGGGGCTGGCTCAATGATTTGGAGACCGGACAGGAAGGCGGCAGTCGAGCGGGTCGTGGTGGGGCTGATGGCTACAGCTATTTCGGGTCGGTGGCTACACTTATTTCGGGTCGGTGGATTTTACAGAATCAGATGGGTCGAGCGAGATCGGACTGTCGTAAAGGTCGTGGACTAACGTGTGGATGAAGGATAGAAGCAGGCGTCGAGACGGCGGAGGAGATGCTGGAAAGTAGGTGATGTGTTGATGATCGGGATGAGCAGTCACGATGTGCGTCACGACCTGTCGGATCAAGTTGGTGTCGGCGACTGTTTGTATGCGTATTAGAGGGCAGTCGACAGATGAAGGAGCTGTAAATTGGGTGAAGAAGGTTGCAGTTACCAACAGGCAGGAAGCGAGTCGTCGGAGTGGCGGCGAAGGGTAGCGCAGCAACAGTAGGTCAATCTATTAAGAGCGGCAGATACAGAGACATAGTGTGCGAGATAGCGAGCGGAATAGCTAGAGAATAACGACACAGTTTGAGTATCAGTTTCCTTTATACCTCATCAAGTGCAAGCTAAACATTGGCCAGCAGAATATGAACCCAAGACCCAATGGCTCCTCCAACTGACGAAACGACGACTTGTGCACCTGCAGAACACGTTCACGAAAGGGCCACCTGTAACGGGGTGAATCGTTACATAACAATTTATAAGAAATTGTTAATAGAATATAACTATAAGAGTTATATTCTCAGAATATTGTCATAAGGACAATATTCTGTAGCACTTCCAAGTAGTTCCTAATTGGTTGATATAGGCCATTATATCAACCAACGAAGACGCGCCACGACAGACGCACGCAATGAGTGGTGAGCAGATAACTGATTTACACATTTGTATTTAGACATAGTTAGATGAAGATAAATAGTGATTTATTGCAGACATTAACTATTATAAATACAGTTCTACTTTTTACTCTAACCAAGTACTCGCTTCTTCTTACCGTCTTCCTCTGCACGTACGAGTGTACGTGAAGTTACGAGGCACCGCCTTATTCTGTTATCAGAATAAGTAGCTTGTACTGTCACCAGTACAAGCTTCAGGGTGCCCCGTTACACCTGGTAGCACTTCGTAGTCCGTCCAAGGACCGCGTTCACATCCAACATGAATATGTTGGATGATGAAGATGACCAAAGCTTTCACGCTACGCGTGACGGCTACTCCCATTTGAGCGATGTCGAATGGGATGCGGTTGAACGAATGGGTTCGACCATGGGCATCCATGCTGTTAGCGTCATGCTAGAGGCTCTCAATAGAGATGCCCAACATGCTACTATCGCCAAGTTCATTCAAAATGAACTTGACGCAGAACGCGAGAAAGTAGCCTTGCTTCACCAACAAGGTTCTCAACAAGCAGAGTTGTTGAGAGAACAAGGTGCTCAACAGTTTGAACTGTTGAGACAGCAGCAGGCTGCTGCTGGCGGGTCGATGCACTCGCGTCGACCCGAGACTTTGAAGATTGACATCTCAAAGTATAGGGGGGTCGAAGAAGACTCCCTCTTGAGATGGTTCGTCGAATTGGATGACGCCATAAGGGCGCGTCGCATCGACGACGGGGATATGCAAGTTGCATTTGCCCAGTCAAATCTGGCAGGACGTGCCAAGACTTGGGCACTGGGGCTCAAGCTGCACGACCCATATGCGTTTGGGTCGTTGGAAGTCTTCAAGTCGCGGCTCAGACAAACGTTTGAACCGCCTAGAGCTGAGTTCAGGGCTCGAACCGAACTCTTGAAGCTCAAGCAGGGTAAGCGTGATGTGCACGCTTACGCGCAACACATACGACATCTTACGAGTTGTATAAGTTTCAATCCAGTGGATGAACACACGTTGGTTTCGGTGTTCATGCAGGGTCTTGCGGATGGTCCCGTCAAGACTCACCTGTTCCGGCTTGAACTAGATTCACTAGAACAAGCCATTTCCATTGCGGAGCAGGAAGACTTCAGTCTGAGACAGGCTCGCGCCAGCTCGACATCATATCGTCAACCTAGACGATATGACAACGGAGGTCCAGAGCCGATGGAACTCTGTTATGTAGAGAGCGAGAAGGTTCGCTCTACAGGCTACAAGAAGTTGCAGAGATGCAACAGATGTCAGAAGACAGGACACTACGCTTACGAGTGTAGTGCCCCTCGTCCAGTCTCTCGCGACACTGGGCGTAGTGACCGTCCACCCATGAGAAAGGGGCAGGGACGAGGGTCCGCAGTTGGTGCAAAGACGCAACAACGGGATGGACCGTCAAAAAACGGACAGGATCAGTAGGTGCGGAGCACCCTACTGATCCAGCAACGTCAAGAGAATTTGTAGGCCTCTTGATGAAGGTTGCTCCCAACACACAGACATTGTGCGTTGCTGCTCTAGGTAATGAGATCTCACTCATTACCTTGAAACTCGAAGTGACGAATAAGTTGTCCCTTCGAGCTCTAGTCGATTGTGGGGCGTCCAACAATTTTGTGCGACGCCAATCGCTAGAAGATGGTCACTTTAAATTCAGTGAATGTGACACACCTCCTACGAGGATGACGGTACGTCTTGCGACAGGCGCATCCGTAACCGTCATGAAGCGTATAGTGAAGATTCACTATACGCTAGAAGATACCCAATACGACGATGACTTTATCGTATTGGATTTGGATGACAAATTTGATGTCATCCTTGGAATACCGTGGCTCAGAAGGTACGAACCACGGGTAAACTGGCAACATCGGACAGTAACGATGCCTGCCGCTTGTTCATCAGATGGCCATCTGATGAACGTTTTGGAGCGTCCACAAGCGTGTGGATGTACTACGAGTGAGTGCGATGGCCTCACTTGTGGTACGGTCGTTAGTACGACTGCACAAAACCTTAGTGTACCAAACGGTTACACTTCGGAGCAAAGTTCCGGCGGCTGTGAGGAAACACAGGCTGCGCCGAAGGTCCACCACTCGAATAAGTCGGGTGGACTGGGACAAAGATGTATCCCTAGAGGGGAACATCTAGAAGAGAAACAATCGATCGCTCAGGTTAAGCGAAACGATAATCCTAGATCGACTGGAGAGTCTTTCGTAGAGGATCTCGCTGTGGTTGCGCAACCCCAGCTAGAGGAAGTAAAGGGAATAAGTCCCAAGATTACAAATACGGCGGAAATAAGTTCCCCGAAACCCGCGGGAATAAGTCCCCGGGAAGACGAAGGAATAAGTCCTTCGAAGCCTGAGGGAATAAGTCCCCAGGAAATGACAGAGACATTGAATGTCATAGTCAATAACGGATCATGTGTAGGCGCTTATACACTTGATCTGATTGCGCCTCCGAAGTTAACTTCGGAGATCACTCAGTTGCCAACGCTCGAACATAAAAGGTTCTTGCGTGATCTGCGTAGTGGCAAAGTCAAGCAGATCTGCATACTCGTCGCTGACGACGAGTATGTAACCGACATAAGGTCAGCAACAGTGTTTACTGAGAACGAGAGAGTTCTCAGTAGTTCATCTATGGACGAGAGTGTCCTAGATGAAAAGACACGAATTGAGCGATATGAGTCCCAATCATGGGAATCGCTCAAGGAAAATCCTCTCTATGAAGATTTGGTTGAATTCAAGGATGTATTCCCTGAAACTGTTCCGTGCGAATTACCGAAGGATAAAGGTATTCGACACGAAGTCGAGCTTAAACCAGGCTCGAAGTACTGTGTCATGAAGCAGTGGCCACTGCCTCGTGAACAAGTACTTGCGATCGACAAGTTCTTTGCCGATCGTTTAGCAGCGGGCCATGTGAGGGAATCAACTTCCCCACATAGCTCTTCGACCTTCTGTGTGCGAAAAGCAACAGGAGGGTGGCGGATAGTGCACGCGTTTAACAAATTGAACGCTGCAACGGTACCGGCTCAGACGCCGATACCGAGGAAGGACGTAATCATTGATGGTATGTCAAAGAGTACCATCTTTTCGTCCATGGATTTGATGGATGGCTTCTATCAAATCCTAATGCGGGAACGGGATATACCCTATACCGCAGTTAGCACGCCTAGCGGCATGCTCTGGGAATGGCTAGTAATGCCACAAGGGCTCAGTAATGCCCCTGCCACGTTCAACAGGTGTGTATCACATCTGTTGAGGCCAGTACGAGAATTCGCGCCGAGTTATTTCGATGACGTATTCATCCATAGTCGAGCTATGGATGGAAAGTCGGACGTTGAGGTTCACAAGTACCACGTCCGACAAGTTCTTACAATCATGCGAAAGCATCAATTGTATGCAAACCTCAAGAAGTGTATTTTTGCAGCAAGCGAAATACCACTTCTTGGGTGCATCGTTGGTAAGAACGGTGTACGTCCTGATCCCGAAAAGATCAAGGCGATCACCGACTGGCCCGTGCCGGTCGATGTCAAAGGTCTTCGAAAATTCCTTGGGCTAGCGGCGTATTTGCATAAGTATTCACGCAATTACGCCGAGATGACTGTACACCTCTCTCGTTTGTTGAAAAAGAACGAGAGGTGGTTATGGAACGCTGAATGTCAACGCTCCTTTGAGGGTATCAAGCAGAGCTTGATACAATCCCCAGTCCTAGCAATAGCCGATCAGGACAGGCCATTTCATGTGGTCTGTGATGCCAGCGATTTCGCAATCGGCTGTGCATTAATGCAGTACGACCTTGAAGGCGTTGAACGCGTCGTCTGCTATCAGTCGCGTCAGCTGCAACCAGCTGAGCGGAACTATCCAGTGCATGACAAGGAACTCCTTGCCATGAAGTATGCACTCGCGAAGTTCAGAGTCTATCTATTAGGAGATAGACCCTTCGTTGTTTACACTGACCATGCGTCCTTACGCACGGCAGTGAACAGCCCGCACCTTTCACAACGAATGGCGCGGTGGTTGTCATTCTTTGCAGAATACAACTTTACGGTCGAGTACAAACCAGGACGACTTAATGTCGTCGCTGATGCACTCTCACGTCGTCCCGACTTTGAAACAGTCGCGAAACCCAACAGTGAGACAGTCACTGTTGCGGTTATGACGTCCTCAGTTCCATCTACAACGTTGTATGATGATGTGAGTCGGGCATACGCCCAAGATGGTGAGATAGTGAAGTTGTTGTCACATCTCTCCCAACCATCTCGAGAATCGTTGAAACGATTGTCGTCTGCGTATCGATCTGCATCAGATCGATACACTACTCGTAACGGTTTACTGTACTATACAGCCGTTTCTGGTGACACACCACGTGTTGTCATTCCAGATGATATTGATCTGCGTTTGCGGATCATGTTCGAGTATCACGATGCTCCTATAGGAGGACATCGTGGCCGAGAGAAAACATATCTCACGGTAAGTCGAGACTTTTACTGGCCCCGCCAGTATCAGTTTGTGCGAAAGTATGTTCGCGCATGCGAAGTCTGCCAACGAGTGAAGTCAAGTCCTTCACTGCGTGCACCTTTACAGCCTCTACCGGTTCCGGCTGAGTGCTGGGAATCCATCTCAATGGATTTCGTCTTCGGGTTACCCAAAGACGCACGCGGGAATACGGGTATTCTCGTATTTGTTGACAGATTCAGCAAAATGGTACACCTTGTGGCTGTACCAGAGACAATCACGGCAAGTGGCTGTGCTTGTGTCTTTATTGACACCATCTTCCGACTTCATGGGTTGCCCCGTGAACTCGTATCAGACAGAGATCCACGATTCACTGCTGATTTCTGGCGTTCCGTGTTCAAATCACTCGGAACGCGCTTGAAGATGTCAACATCTGATCATCCAGAGTCAGATGGTCAGACGGAACGTGCCAATCGTGTCCTTGAAGAGATACTTCGAGGATACGTACACTCCTTTAAGAGTTGGAGTGAGTTTTTGCCGATGGTAGAGTTTGCCATCAACAACTCGGTGCATGCGTCCACGACACATACACCGTTTTACGTGAATGGCTTGCGCCATCCGCGTGTACCCACCTTACTAGAGTGTAACTCTGGTTTAAGGGGGAGGGACTCGCGCGAGCAAAAACCGATTTGGTTCACGCTCATCACGCTCTGACGAAGAAGTCATTGCGTTTGATGCCGATATCGATAACATCGATATCGAAGAAGATGATGCCAGTGAGAGTGCGGAAGCCCTCACTGAAGACAATGATCCCAGTGAGAGTGCGGAAGCCCTCACTGAAGAAAAGGTTGTTGTCGCTGCAGTGCGCTCACAGCACACTGAAGCTAACGAGTCATCAGATGAGTTCATACTGGCTCGTGAAACGGTAGTCCGTTTTGTGCAAGACTCCATCGCCGAAGCGGTGGATAAGCAAAAGCAAAACGCTGACAAGAATGGAAGGGCAAACACTCTTTTATTTAATAAAGGTGACTTAGTCCTACTGTCTACGGTTAATCTACCAAAACATGTAGTGACTAACTTGGGTAGCAGTAAACTACTACCCAAGTACATTGGCCCATTTCGTGTATTGCACCGCCTAGGCAATGCATACACGATCGAGTTACCACGTAAGATGCGAACGCATCCCACGTTTTACGTTGGTCGGCTTAAGCCGTACCATCAGTACGCTGCTTCTTCCGATGAAGAACGCCCTTGCGCTCAAGCATCTCGCAGAGAGCCTTGTGCTCCCGATGGTGGGCATCAACAAGGGTCTGAAGAGCAGTTATCTCAGCCCGAGACCGATCAACAATCCCACGAGCTACCCTTAGCTCGTCACGAAGAGATGTCAGAGATCTCTCGTTCTCAAGCTGAGCAAAGGCAAACTCAGCTCGATGCTTCGAGGCAGTGTCCACCATCTGGAGACGCCTATTCCGCTCATGCTCGAGATCGTCGCGTAACCCTTGCGTTACGCGATCAAAGAAGCTCTCGGGAACACACCGATCCACATGATCGTGTGGAGAGCGTCTTTCCTCCTCCTCCACCTCCATTAGAGGACTCTCGCGGTGGCCAGCGCTATCTAGTTGAGCAGCTGTTGAACCACCGCGACGTGAACGGACGTCGGACGAGTTACCTCGTCCGGTGGCGCGGCTATCCCCCGTCCTGGGATTCTTGGGAGCCCCGCTCCCAATTGATGGTTGACGTACTGGGTCTGGTCGAGCAGTACGACGCGACACATCCTGTGCCGCAGAAGGACCGCCGGAGAAAGTCTTCCCGGCACGGTCGTAAAGGGATTTCAGGTTGTCAATCCCTTCGTACATCTCAGTAGAGACACGTACGCGCCACCACGGGCTGGTAAGGAGGTAAGCCTCCTTAGGTGCTCGTGCAGAGTTGTTCACACAACATGGGCACGAGTCTCCCCAAGAAAGGCAGGGTAATCCTTTCTCCCTTGACAGACGATGCAGCTTGTAGCGTGCACCTGTCGGGGTTCGCTTTTCAAACTTATCACGAGCTTTGATAAGTTTGTCGTTCCAAGCGTCACGACCTACATCCTCGAGATTATGGATGTAGGCGTTCCACGCCTGAAGTAGTGAGGGACCATCACGTTTGTGATTCCCACTGTACCATCGATGTCTGAAGAAAGCATCGATGAAGAACTCATGTTCAGCGCGATAGTCTTTCGCGCTGGGGTCAAGGTGATGAATCCTTGACGAATCGAACAATCGTGTTCGATAACGATCACTCGTCGTCGCCGACAAGTGATCCATGACAGAATTTAGGAGGCATCCATGCCTTCTTTTCTGGAGCGAGACGCAACACATTGCGGTCCCGCTCTTCCTGCGACGTGCCGACAGAAGTACTGGCACCTCGCTGTGAAGTGGTGTCCATTGGAGAAACGACACCACTATTGGCGCCCGAGTCTCGCGACCTCGAGCGCCTTCGCTTCGGCGATGGTTCATCTGACTCATCAGATGAACCAAAGATGCTGCGACGCAAAGCATCGTCCATGCCACGCTTGGCAGGCGGCTTGGATTCAATTGCCGTCGATACGGATCCGTCATCCGTATCAGGAGAGTACGAGACACCGAGCTCGTACTCTGTGAAGACACGAGTGTCTTCATGACCAGCGCCTGCATCACCAGGTGATACAGGCTGAGTCGATTCAGCAACCGATGGGACATCAGTTGCTGTAGTTTCTGCTTCGGCGTCCGCACAGAGACGTGCAGACGCGCTCTCGGCGGCCTTGCTCGCGCATCGCATGGGCTTGTTTACCATGCGATGAGATGTTGGAAAGTGGACGCGGACCAACAAGTGCAAACCCCGTCCCAAATGATTTGGGACGAGTATCCATTTAGTCAATCAGTCACTAAAGTGACTGATGGTTAGGGGGGTGATGTAACGGGGTGAATCGTTACATAACAATTTATAAGAAATTGTTAATAGAATATAACTATAAGAGTTATATTCTCAGAATATTGTCATAAGGACAATATTCTGTAGCACTTCAAGTAGTTCCTAATTGGTTGATATAGGCCATTATATCAACCAACGAAGACGCGCCACGACAGACGCACGCAATGAGTGGTGAGCAGATAACTGATTTACACATTTGTATTTAGACATAGTTAGATGAAGATAAATAGTGATTTATTGCAGACATTAACTATTATAAATACAGTTCTACTTTTTACTCTAACCAAGTACTCGCTTCTTCTTACCGTCTTCCTCTGCACGTACGAGTGTACGTGAAGTTACGAGGCACCGCCTTATTCTGTTATCAGAATAAGTAGCTTGTACTGTCACCAGTACAAGCTTCAGGGTGCCCCGTTACACCACCGATGTTAGCGATACCCAGCCCTCAAAAGGTTGCGGGGACGGACGAAAGGATCCTCACAATGCTGACTGCGCTCACGAATCGCACGCAAGCGCTCGAGGCGTCGCAGATGCAGATAGACGAGGACGAGCGACTGCGAGGCGCGATAGACAGTAACTCCTTTGCGTCAGCACTAGAACGCGGCATGGGTGGAACGACCTTTACATCGTGACGCTGTAACGGGGCACCCTGAAGCTTGTACTGGTGACAGTACAAGCTACTTATTCTGATAACAGAATAAGGCGGTGCCTCGTAACTTCACGTACACTCGTACGTGCAGAGGAAGACGGTAAGAAGAAGCGAGTACTCGGTTAGAGTAAAAGGTAGAACTGTATTTATAATAGTTAATGTCTGCAATAAATCACTATTTATCTTCATCTAACTATGTCTAAATACAAATGTGTAAATCAGTTATCTGCTCCACATTCCACCACTCATTGCGTGCGACTGTGTGGCATCTTCGTCGGTTGATATAATGGCCTATATCAACCAATTAGGAACTACTTGAAGTGCTACAGAATATTTGTCCTTATGACAATATTCTGAGAATATGACTCTTATAGTTATATTCTATTAACAATTTCTTATAAATTGTTATGTAACGATTCACCCCGTTACATCACCCCCTTAACCATCAGTCACTTTAGTGACTGATTGACTAAATGGATACTCGTCCCAAATCATTTGGGACGGGGTTTGCACTTGTTGGTCCGCGTCCACTTTCCAACATCTCATCGCATGGTAAACAAGCCCATGCGATGCGCGAGCAAGGCCGCCGAGAGCGCGTCTGCACGTCTCTGTGCGGACGCCGAAGCAGAAACTACAGCAACTGATGTCCCATCGGTTGCTGAATCGACTCAGCCTGTATCACCTGGTGATGCAGGCGCTGGTCATGAAGACACTCGTGTCTTCACAGAGTACGAGCTCGGTGTCTCGTACTCTCCTGATACGGATGACGGATCCGTATCGACGGCAATTGAATCCAAGCCGCCTGCCAAGCGTGGCATGGACGATGCTTTGCGTCGCAGCATCTTTGGTTCATCTGATGAGTCAGATGAACCATCGCCGAAGCGAAGGCGCTCGAGGTCGCGAGACTCGGGCGCTAATAGTGGTGTCGTTTCTCCAATGGACACCACTTCACAGCGAGGTGCCAGTACTTCTGTCGGCACGTCGCAGGAAGAGCGGGACCGCAATGTGTTGCGTCTCGCTCCAGAAAAGAAGGCATGGATGCCTCCTAAATCTGTCATGGATCACTTGTCGGCGACGACGAGTGATCGTTATCGAACACGATTGTTCGATTCGTCAAGGATTCATCACCTTGACCCCAGCGCGAAAGACTATCGCGCTGAACATGAGTTCTTCATCGATGCTTTCTTCAGACATCGATGGTACAGTGGGAATCACAAACGTGATGGTCCCTCACTACTTCAGGCGTGGGAACGCCTACATCCATAATCTCGAGGATGTAGGTCGTGACGCTTGGGAACGACAAACTTATCAAAGCTCGTGATAAGTTTGAAAAGCGAACCCCGACAGGTGCACGCTACAAGCTGCATCGTCTGTCAAGGGAGAAAGGATTACCCTGCCTTCTTGGGGAGACTCGTGCCCATGTTGTGTGAACAACTCTGCACGAGCACCTAAGGAGGCTTACCTCCTTACCAGCCCGTGGTGGCGCGTACGTGTCTCTACTGAGATGTACGAAGGGATTGACAACCTGAAATCCCTTTACGACCGTGCCGGGAAGACTTTCTCCGGCGGTCCTTCTGCGGCACAGGATGTGTCGCGTCGTACTGCTCGACCAGACCCAGTACGTCAACCATCAATTGGGAGCGGGGCTCCCAAGAATCCCAGGACGGGGATAGCCGCGCCACCGGACGAGGTAACTCGTCCGACGTCCGTTCACGTCGCGGTGGTTCAACAGCTGCTCAACTAGATAGCGCTGGCCACCGCGAGAGTCCTCTAATGGAGGTGGAGGAGGAGGAAAGACGCTCTCCACACGATCATGTGGATCGGTGTGTTCCCGAGAGCTTTTTTGATCGCGTAACGCAAGGGTTACGCGACGATCTCGAGCATGAGCGGAATAGGCGTCTCCAGATGGTGGACACTGCCTCGAAGCATCGAGCTGAGTTTGCCTTTGCTCAGCTTGAGAACGAGAGAGATCTCTGACATCTTCGTGACGAGCTAAGGGTAGCTCGTGGGATTGTTGATCGGTCTCGGGCTGAGATAACTGCTCTTCAGACCCTTGTTGATGCCCACCATCGGGAGCACAAGGCTCTCTGCGAGATGCTTGAGCGCAAGGGCGTTCTTCATCGGAAGAAGCAGCGTACTGATGGTACGGCTTAAGCCGACCAACGTAAAACGTGGGATGCGTTCGCATCTTACGTGGTAACTCGATCGTGTATGCATTGCCTAGGCGGTGCAATACACGAAATGGGCCAATGTACTTGGGTAGTAGTTTACTGCTACCCAAGTTAGTCACTACATGTTTTGGTAGATTAACCGTAGACAGTAGGACTAAGTCACCTTTATTAAATAAAAGAGTGTTTGCCCTTCCATTCTTGTCAGCGTTTTGCTTTTTTGCTTATCCACCGCTTCGGCGATGGAGTCTTGCACAAAACGGACTACCGTTTCACGAGCCAGTATGAACTCATCTGATGACTCGTTAGCTTCAGTGTGCTGTGAGCGCACTGCAGCGACAACAACCTTTTCTTCAGTGAGGGCTTCCGCACTCTCACTGGGATCATTGTCTTCAGTGAGGGCTTCCGCACTCTCACTGGCATCATCTTCTTCGATATCGATGTTATCGATATCGGCATCAAACGCAATGACTTCTTTCGTCAGAGCGTGATGAGCGTGAACCAAATCGGTTTTTGCTCGCGCGAGTCCCTCCCCCCTTAAACCAGAGTTACACTCTAGTAAGGTGGGTACACGCGGATGGCGCAAGCCATTCACGTAAAACGGTGTATGTGTCGTGGACGCATGCACCGAGTTGTTGATGGCAAACTCTACCATCGGCAAAAACTCACTCCAACTCTTAAAGGAGTGTACGTATCCTCGAAGTATCTCTTCAAGGACACGATTGGCACGTTCCGTCTGACCATCTGACTCTGGATGATCAGATGTTGACATCTTCAAGCGCGTTCCGAGTGATTTGAACACGGAACGCCAGAAATCAGCAGTGAATCGTGGATCTCTGTCTGATACGAGTTCACGGGGCAACCCATGAAGTCGGAAGATGGTGTCAATAAAGACACAAGCACAGCCACTTGCCGTGATTGTCTCTGGTACAGCCACAAGGTGTACCATTTTGCTGAATCTGTCAACAAATACGAGAATACCCGTATTCCCGCGTGCGTCTTTGGGTAACCCGAAGACGAAATCCATTGAGATGGATTCCCAGCACTCAGCCGGAACCGGTAGAGGCTGTAAAGGTGCACGCAGTGAAGGACTTGACTTCACTCGTTGGCAGACTTCGCATGCGCGAACATACTTTCGCACAAACTGATACTGGCGGGGCCAGTAAAAGTCTCGACTTACCGTGAGATATGTTTTCTCTCGGCCACGATGTCCTCCTATAGGAGCATCGTGATACTCGAACATGATCCGCAAACGCAGATCAATATCATCTGGAATGACAACACGTGGTGTGTCACCAGAAACGGCTGTATAGTACAGTAAACCGTTACGAGTAGTGTATCGATCTGATGCAGATCGATACGCAGACGACAATCGTTTCAACGATTCTCGAGATGGTTGGGAGAGATGTGACAACAACTTCACTATCTCACCATCTTGGGCGTATGCCCGCCTCACATCATCATACAACGTTGTAGATGGAACTGAGGACGTCATAACCGCAACAGTGACTGTCTCACTGTTGGGTTTCGCGACTGTTTCAAAGTCGGGACGACGTGAGAGTGCATCAGCGACGACATTAAGTCGTCCTGGTTTGTACTCGACCGTAAAGTTGTATTCTGCAAAGAATGACAACCACCGCGCCATTCGTTGTGAAAGGTGCGGGCTGTTCACTGCCGTGCGTAAGGACGCATGGTCAGTGTAAACAACGAAGGGTCTATCTCCTAATAGATAGACTCTGAACTTCGCGAGTGCATACTTCATGGCAAGGAGTTCCTTGTCATGCACTGGATAGTTCCGCTCAGCTGGTTGCAGCTGACGCGACTGATAGCAGACGACGCGTTCAACGCCTTCAAGGTCGTACTGCATTAATGCACAGCCGATTGCGAAATCACTGGCATCACAGACCACATGAAATGGCCTGTCCTGATCGGCTATTGCTAGGACTGGGGATTGTATCAAGCTCTGCTTGATACCCTCAAAGGAGCGTTGACATTCAGCGTTCCATAACCACCTCTCGTTCTTTTTCAACAAACGAGAGAGGTGTACAGTCATCTCGGCGTAATTGCGTGAATACTTATGCAAATACGCCGCTAGCCCAAGGAATTTTCGAAGACCTTTGACATCGACCGGCACGGGCCAGTCGGTGATCGCCTTGATCTTTTCGGGATCAGGACGTACACCGTTCTTACCAACGATGCACCCAAGAAGTGGTATTTCGCTTGCTGCAAAAATACACTTCTTGAGGTTTGCATACAATTGATGCTTTCGCATGATTGTAAGAACTTGTCGGACGTGGTACTTGTGAACCTCAACGTCCGACTTTCCATCCATAGCTCGACTATGGATGAATACGTCATCGAAATAACTCGGCGCGAATTCTCGTACTGGCCTCAACAGATGTGATACACACCTGTTGAACGTGGCAGGGGCATTACTGAGCCCTTGTGGCATTACTAGCCATTCCCAGAGCATGCCGCTAGGCGTGCTAACTGCGGTATAGGGTATATCCCGTTCCCGCATTAGGATTTGATAGAAGCCATCCATCAAATCCATGGACGAAAAGATGGTACTCTTTGACATACCATCAATGATTACGTCCTTCCTCGGTATCGGCGTCTGAGCCGGTACCGTTGCAGCGTTCAATTTGTTAAACGCGTGCACTATCCGCCACCCTCCTGTTGCTTTTCGCACACAGAAGGTCGGAGAGCTATGTGGGGAAGTTGATTCCCTCACATGGCCCGCTGCTAAACGATCGGCAAAGAACTTGTCGATCGCAAGTACTTGTTCACGAGGCAGTGGCCACTGCTTCATGAC